AGCACTGCAGTGCGGTGGAAGTAGGAAGGTCAGAAAATGATAGAATAAAACAGTGAACCTGCCTAAGTCGACCAATCATGGGAACCCCAAACAGTGGTCCCCGCAGGCTGTGTCCGGGTGGTCCCTTTATCCAGGGTAAGTTGGACTGGAAGTGATACCCTTTGGTCCTGGAATTTACAGAGCACCACTGTAAATTGGTATCCTTGGCGATGGTTCGGGCCAGGCAAGCAGTATTATTATATTGCAGTGCTCTCGGCGCACAGTCAGTTTCATTAGCCTACTCAAGCTCAACTGATGCGGGAGAATTTCCCAAAACACTGTGCATTGAGCAGGGAGTGGTGCTCAATTCCCCAAAACACTGCGCATTGAGCAGGGAGTGGTGCCGCAGTCAGGTCCCCAAAACACTGTGCATTGAGCAGGGAGTGGTGCTCAGGTCTTGCCGGTTGCCAAGTGGAAGGTTCAACATGCTTCTCTTTTCGTGTTCTCCTGATCACAGTAGGGGCCGGTTAATTAAGTCTGCCGACAGGAAGCGAGGCTCCTATAATTATGAGCAGTCAACTTCTAAAAGTAAAAAGCCAAGAAACTGCAGCGAAATTGAAAACTATTGTTCCCAGTCAGTGTCCGGGTACCGGGTGAGCCCTGAGCCCGAGGCTCTGTGCTAACTAGACGGGTAGAAACAGCTGGTAAGCAGAATCTTAAGTCCAGTTACCCGTGATGGTTGCATGGGATCTAGAAACTAACTCATCTTCACACTGGCAGTGAGTCATGCAGAATACCAACATTGCACTCATTGCCTCTACCTGATCTTTCTCTTGTTCCGGAGCATCATTAGGCAAAGACTTCCCATGGTGAATGGCTTCCTCGGCACTGCACATTTGATCCAGGTTCTCGCGTGACTTCTTCTTTCTGCCACCCTTAGCCTCGGAACCGGCCGGACACTGCTCCAGGCTTTCTCTTGCTGCTCCACGCCTTTTCTGGCGGTGGTCCTGCTGATTTTCATTGGCTTCGTCGTCAATGTCGCTGTCATCAGCATCCACCTCTTCCTCTTCTGCATTTACTTCTGGCCATCTGAACGCCTCGTTCTTCCATCCGCCTGTACTATTGTATTCATGGTCATACGGACTGACAACGTCACTGTCCAGGCCAGAGTTCAGCGGGCCAAAGAATGGGTCTTCTTCTCGATCCTTGCTGTCGATGTTGTCAACGAACTGCTGATGGATCTGTAATCAAGACGATGGATATACAAATGTACACGTACATGGTGTGAACTAGGACTGGTTTTGAACACTGGAGTAAATATGAATATGGTGCACAGAGGTGTGTGTGTGTGTGTGTGTGTGTGTGTGTGTGTGTGTGTGTGTGTGTGTGTGTGTGTGTGTGTGTGTGTGTGTGTGTGTGTGTGGGAACAGCGAGGGAGCGTCTCGAGTTCAAGTTCTGCTGTGCATGCGGTGAGAGATATCGCAGGTGGCAGGATCTGCAACGGCATGAGGCGGGATGTTCTGCCGCGACGCCGTGATGCTACTCCTTTGTTCGTCTCCTCATGAGGGCAGCTTAGTCGTTTAACGGCAGCTGTATGTCAAAGTCAAGGTGTGTGTGTCTGACAGTTATGTGAGTGTGTGTGTGTGTGTGTGTGTGTGCGTGCGCGCACGCGCGTGGGTGTGGCCCGGGTCAGTGTAGAGAAGGGAACTGGAAGACATGGCAAAGGAAACCATAGGTGATTTACATACCCGTAAATTGCTGTGGAACTCAATGTAGTCTTATCTTGCACACACTGTCATGGAGTGCATGCCACTGGGTTTCCAGTCCACTAATCTATAGTGCATTCTGCACACATTTTCGGCAAGGGGCCAAGGGGTGATACTGACACATCATGTATTTAGAAAGCTGTAGACTCCATTTCAAAGCATGCCACAAAACATGACACACTTCTCCGCTGTGCATACTAGTAACAGCTAAGCACATGGCATGCACCCCATGGAAAGGAAAGCCTAGCTCAATACACTAGGCTTGTGCACACTGGTTGCTCAGTTGCCAAGCAACACGAGTGACGCTCTTACATTCTGGAACTCCAAATGCTGCTCCTGGTACTCCTCCAAGTCATACAGGGTCTTCTCCAGTATTTGCTGCCGGTGCGTGAGCAGATCCTCCAGTTTCCGCTGGCATCGAACGGCGTACATGGACTCCTTGGCAGCCGGTATGGTCGACTCGATCTGATCGGCACGCTGGTAGGATGCAGCTGATAGGTTCCACTCACGGTTCACCTGGACATGCACATCCCAGCAATCAAAAACACAAAATCAATCCCGTGGAGCTCACATTGCAGGTGCAGGGCATTACAGGGAAGTACATAGTAGCCAGTCCCGGCTCAATCGGTACCCTGTCGGTTGGACTACCATTGGTCGGTTTAATGGTTTTAACAATATAAGCAAATAATCGTGTCCATGCCTTTGAAGGTATGAAGGTGAAGTAGGCACAAGTATGGTCAGTTGTAAACAAGCTGACAAACGATCATCTTAGCACGGTGCTACTTAAAAGACAAACACACACACACACATCATGACAACTAGTAGTGGGACAACTTGAGATGTGCTGAGATATCAGTGTGTGGCAGATACAAGGCACCGACTAGGCTGACCACTATCTACAGTGTGCACTCATCACCTACATACAGTGAATAGACTGTCCACAACAGCAATGGGTCAGCGACTACCAGCACCTGTCTATTAGACACGACAAGAAAACAACTTGGCTGGCTGAACTATAACTTACAGCGTAGACGTTTCCCAGTGTGAAGTGATGAATGAACAAATGCGGCGACAGGTCTATGGCGCTAAGCAGCAGAATTACGGCGTCCTTAGAGTGCTGTGAGCGATGCAGAACATTGGCCAGGCTCAGCAGTGCAACATCTCGGTGGCGCCTGCAAATGTCAAGTACACCCATTGAATAAAACTCAGTCCACACACAAACCACACACTGTCTCTTAGTGTGGCCTTTATGCCTGTGTACTTACAACTACCACCTTCTTGAAGAGACACAACTGAAGTGCAGGAGGAGGAGGAGGAGGAGGAGGAGGAGGAGGAGGAGGAGGAGGAGGAGGAGGAGGAGGAGGAGGAGGAGGAGGAGGAGGAAGAAGAGAAGGAGGAGGGATAGTTTGTAGATGGCCGAGCTAGCTCAAGAGAGATTTAAGACATGCTCATGCAAAACTGCCTGCTGGCAAGTGATAATCAGTGGGGAAGATCAACCTGAGTAGGACTTACGGTGGTGAATAGTGGAGAGCACGACGCAAACACTCTGCTGCCTGGTAGTAGTGTCCGTGTATTCTCCAGTAGATTGACGCAATGTTCAACAGTACCCAAGAGCTGGAGTTCTACAATAAAAGAAAAATGAAAGTAACCCAAAGGGAATCAGGACAGCCTACTGATAACCCACATGCGTTATCACATATGAAATGTAAAGTTAACTTAAATGAACATAATCAACCCATAATTCTACTTCGAAGCAATCAAGTAATTGAAGCACATGCATTAGCATTCTTGCATTAGGCCAAGCTAGCACCACCTCACCGATGATTTCAGCTTCGAAAAGATCTCTAAAATAAAAAAATATATAAAATCACGGTTCGTTTGAGACTCAGTTAAGCTGAGTTCTCAATATCTGTAGGAACGCCACCACCCTGTAAAGATCAAGGGCGCAAAAGCCGGTGGTGGGAGGTGTGTAGATTAGTCCGCCAACAAAGTGGTCAGAGACCGAAGATCCCATTCGTTGCATTCATATTTCCCTCGTGCCAGATCTCTAGAAGCTGGTGAAGAACTTGATGATAATGACTGATCTGGTCCCAGGGTCTTCTTACCTTGTCAATAGCCTCTTTCAAGCAGCTGCCAAGATGGTCCATGGCAAAGTGATTGGGGAAGGCACCATGTAACGCCGGCTCAGGTTGACTGGGAAGCTGCGACCGGGCCTGTACACCGGCCAGGTGTTCAAACGATTTGGGACTGAAGTCGAGAGGTGGCTTGCGACAGTCGGGCACCATCGGCACGCCGTCTGAGTAAGTCCCCGGTGCACAGGTCAAATGATCCGTCATCCTGCAAAGGAGTAAAGGACGACGCAGTAAAATAACAAATACAGTGAAACCTGGTTAGGAAGAACACTGATAAGACAAATGTTTGCTTGAGAAGAACTAGTATTCGTAACTCCATTGGATAAATCACTGTGTATTCACTGGGTATACCATAGATACGGATAAGAAGAACTCCCGTTATTGCAAACGAATATCATCGGTCCCTTGGTGTTCGTCCTAAAGAGGTTTGACTGTAATAGCATTTGCTTTATAGAAGAGTTGTGTCAGATCAATCACCGCACCCTGTCCTTGACGGGCTAAAGTCACGGTTACTGATTGAAGGGCTTTTGATTTTATATGGCTTCACTATGGCAATTCTAAAATCGAAGACCCCTGCAGCAAGGCATCATCGGTCTCGAATTAGGCCCGTCATAGCACTCCCCCCCCCCCCCCCCCCCCCGGTAATGCATACTAGTACATCATCAAACATTCAGACTTCAATGATTCGAAAAGACCACCTATCTCTGTAAGACCGGCCTTCCATGCCTCATGGATAGCCATATTAAAGATGTCAGGCTGCAGTCTCACTATATAACACACTGCATTGCTGTCTCTTGTCTGTTTCAAGGCAAACACCTGTTTTGGCCGACCAATATAGACTCCCACGTTAGACATCCATTCGTCGGGAGAATAATGGATTTAAAAAAGCCGCCATGGCAGTGTGAGCTGAGATATTATACCATTACCAATGTTAAAATTCATATATTATACGAATTTTAACGTAATGATGACAGGTGTTCAAGGAATTATGTTCCCTGCAATTTTTTTAAGGCAGCTGGTCGCCCAGAATTATGCTAGCAACAACTTGGACTTACTTGATTCCTTTCTTTTCCAGGGGTAGGTAAGTACTTGAGTAAAGATCTAAATCAATAAGACGACGTGGCGCTGCAATGCAGTCCTTGTCGGTCTTGTAAAAATTGGCTTCAACCTGTGGCACCAACACGCATGGTCAGATTTTGCAAAAATCAACTGCTGTGAATATGTTGGGGCTCTGTAATACAGAGATGTCAATACTCGTGATGCTAGCTCTTCGGCCCGGTGAGACTGTGACGATAGTGCATGTACTGCCCGTATTCAAAACCGGGTGAATTAGAGGACTACACCGGCTGCGGCCCGGCAAAGTATCTCTGGGCCATACCGGGATGCTTGGTTTACATCACAAATGGTGCCCTGCTAAAATAGATGATAACTTTGATAACAAAACAGTGTAGTTGTACTTGGAAGTACAAGTACATGCAAAGGAAGCACAGTCCCGGGCCAAGTTCATTGACAGATTATCTTCTGATACTAACCAACTTGTCATCATCTTTCTCGATGTCAGCCTTCTCCAGTTTATGGCTATTGTCTTTCAATACTTGATTTAACTGCTTCAGACGTCGGCTAAACTCGTCTTGCTGTACGAACGCTAGTACATCATGGGGCTTGCGGAGGTTGTATGGTGAGTTAGGCTGGACAAAAGACAGCAGCACAATCAAGATTCCAAATGGCATGACCTTCCGACCTGCTGCTGCTTCGAGCTCAGTACAACGGAGGGTGGCGAGTTAAATCCAACCCAGTGAATAACAAATACAGTGCAGCCGCGTTCGGTGCACAGCCGCATCACGGTGTGTTTGAGTGCAGGGCCGTGCGCAGCACCCGGCAGAGATCAGAGCCGTCGTATATTCACGACTCCGGAGTTGGATTTCACTCGCCATACTGCTGCAGTATTGATGAACAGTGCACTGAGAACTAGCGCCGCGGCGAGCACTGAGTGCCGGCCGTACACTGGACTGTGACTGCTCGTAGTCCACTGTAAGGCATTAATCAGTAATTATGCTGCGGCTACCATTGCAACTACAGCCCGCATGCCCCGCTGTGGTAAGACTAAGATGCATTACAACGTACCGGCGCCACTGCCACTGGGCAGATGGAAATCAATGTTCGTCTTAGCTTCCTCGCTAGCTTCTCCCGGGGAAACTGTACTATCTCTAACGAGTGAGCCACATGTACCGTGATTGGTAGTTTTTAGTGGATCCAAGTTCACAATTCATGCACTAACAAGGGTTTGCCTAGACATCTCCAATGAAAATCCCCGCAAGGGAACCATTACTGCCTCCAACCCAGTGATATCTCACTGGGTATGTCCCTCACAAAGCAAACATTAAAATTTATGTATATTAATTATTTTGTTTGGTACCACGCCAATTACACAGACTGATATCCATTGAGATGCAGCGGCCTATCATAATGATTTGGATGATGAAGTGAGCCACTATTGTTGATACTGCTGACATCATCAAGTTGGTATCCGCACCTGCACTAGCTCAAGAGGGTATTTCACTTTCTCAAGGACAGGTGAAATTCGAACGTGTGTGTATGTGTGCGGATGTTGGAGAGTTTTGTAAGACACAGGGCATAGTGACTATCTTCCGATACTGCTGCATTGGGCTGGCACCAAGGCAGCACACAACCAGCAAGAGGCAGTGCGTACTGTATTCTCAAAATGCATCAAGTTATCCTTACTCGAACTTCGATCTTGCCACTCTGCTTGAGAACCCAGTGTGTGGCCGAGTCCGAGCGATAGGACACAGCGGTCAGGATGACCAGCAGCGACAGGAGCACGGTGCAAGCGGCATGGCCACAGCACCACGCACGCGGCCCCATACCGCCGCTGCTTGGTTCTCCTGCCTGGGCCTGGACACCGCCAGAATTCACACTAATCCATGGCACAATGAGACAAAAACGACCTAATCCTGCACAAACTGACTTTGGTCGCAACCTCCCACAGTGACCTAGTCGTCTATCTCATCTGGTGACAGTAAATAATGCGAAAGTGTTGCCTTTTTGCCACAGAGCGAGTATGCAACCACTTGTGATCATTACCGGCGAGTGTTGAGCTGCAACAATCGCCACCCTGATCTGACACTGTCACCAGGTCACCAGCGCAGCTAGCCACCTTATCCTTGGCTTGGTTACACTCACTTCGAGCGTAGATGTACGAAGTACGAGTAGACCTACCGTTGGCGTTGCCGTGAGTCTAGTCACTGAGTGTTGGGAGAGATACGAACCAGGATGTCGAGCGCGCCGCGAGTTGTGTAGATCTACAATACTAGCCAGTAGTAGATCTACAGCTGTAGCAGCTATTTTCAGTGCTTCACATGCACAGTCGTACTCGCTCAAAACGCTCAAAACGCTGGCACGTGCACTGACACTGTACGAACTCGTACGAGTGGCATGTGCACCAGCTGGGCGCGCGCGCTAGAACCACATCTTCAAAAAATGTGTACGAGTACTTTTGTAGATCTACGCGAGATCCTGTCGATTTTGCTGTTCAAAAATAAAAGTCAGGAAGCGAAATAATTGTTCATATTATTTTTGTGAGCAAACGTTACTTATTTCGCAGTCATCATTGTTGTTCTTTTTTTTAGCGTGGCGGCGACTGACTTCTAGTAAGTTCTACTCTCATAATAGGTCCCGAAATCATGTCAGAGCAGGAAGCAGTCCAGGAAACAAACGATGAGGCAACAGCTTGCAAAAGGTTGGTGGTGAAAGGAGACATTACTGCATAATCGGCTTTGGAGCAAATCTTTCGAATCAAAGTAAATGTATGATCACTGTGGAGAAGGCAGTAAACTGTAGCATGTGCCAAAGTAACTACCGGTAGTTGCTTAGCATGGGAAGTAGCTCTGGAGATTACGTGGCTACTTGTACTGTATCATTATGACTCACGTTTGTGAGTATACTGGTACATGTACATTGTCATGACATAGTGTATATCACTGCCTATCCACGTTAGCATCAAGAGCAGAAACGGCAAAATTCATGACATTAGTTACCTACTTTGGCTCTCTAGCTTTCGCTCAGCCATTCCTGTAACCGGGAAATACTATCATCTATTTAGGAGAGCACGCATTCTAGATTTCTGGATACTATCTGAACACCCTTTGTTGTTTGAGAGGTTCTGCAAAACGAAAATTCGAACGAAGTTTCGCGACAGTCCTTGCGAAAGTGTGTACGGATTTTCGCACGAACTTTGCGTTCTGCACATTTTCGTAGTTTGCACGGGCCAAGTGTGCGTACGCCATGATGACCCGATCTCACGAAATTTCCTACGAAAGTTCATTTCGCGTTCCCTGCAAGTTTCGTGTCCAAAGTTGCGAAAGTTCGTGCGAAGTTTCGCACTTCATGACGTAGAGCGAAAGTTTGTACGCATTTTCGTTTTGCAGAACCTCTATTGAGGTTGTTGAAAGCCAAACAGCTGATTAGAGAAGAAACAAGAAAAAGAGTGCAGCGCAGCTCAACAAGGAGGAAGCTAGTATGTCCCAGAAAGCATACGCATCACAAAGCATGGTGTAAACCCAGAGACACGGAGACCAGAAAGGAGCTACGAGGGAGTCGTACAGAAACATGAGGACTGACAAGAGCTCTGCATCGTGCAGGCAATAAAGTAACGCGTGCTGGTAGCCGAAAAGGTGATGTGTGTGACAGTATGCCCAGGTGAACTGGTATGCCCGGTAGTACTGGTGTGCCCGGTAGTACTGGTATGCCCGGTAGTACTGGTATGCCCAGGTGAACTGGTATGCCCGGTAGTACTGGTATGCCCGGTAGTACTGGTATGCCCGGTAGTACTGGTATGCCCGGTAGTACTGGTATGCCCAGGTGAACTGGTATGCCCGGTAGTACTGGTATGCCCGGTAGTACTGGTATGCCCGGTAGTACTGGTATGCCCGGTAGTACTGGTATGCCCGGTAGTACTGGTTACAAACGTGAACTAGAAAGGGACACACCTAGAAAGGGATAGGATGCGGGCAAGAGTTCACAGTGTGCACAACACTGATCTGATGAGGAAACAACGAAAAAGTGTGAAAGGACAAGACATGACACATATGGGTGAGGCGGTATAGCGTAGTACAAAGAAAATAATCATGAACAGTAGCACCATTTGTGACACTCCGGGGACCAGAGTATGAAACAAGATCACTCTGGATTAGTTGGCTGATCATAGCATTTTATTGCTTCGCGGGGTACGGTACCTGGGGCAAAGAGTGATATGGTCAGTACCGTGGCATGTCTGATGCCCCTGGACTGACAGTTTTCTCAACATTTTGCATCACTGGCTGTCGTAGCATCATGGCGAGAAATTGAGCCGAGCTCAGCTTTTCCAACGAACAATGCGCTTCTCTTTCTGTACGGCGGGGGGGGGGGGGGTCACCGGTGACATGATCCCCCGATAGGTCGCGTAGTCAGTAGCTGGTAAAGTAGATAAGTCATGATGGAAGGCATTCATCTCTTTTGCTGAGTTGTTTGCGTGTCTGTCTGTCTGTCTGTCTCTCTGCCTGTGTTTGTGTTTGTTCATGATGATAGATGCGCTGTTGAGCTCGGCTATTGGAAGGACGGCTTTGTACAGCAATACATGAGATCAGCAGAGCGCAGAGCTCCCGAAATAAACAGAGGTACAGTATGTTCATAACACATGTTGCAGTCTAAACATGTCCTTTAGTTGTTGGACAGGCCTGTTTCATTTTCCTATTCGCAGTAGCATTTCATGCTTTTATCCTACTATGTAATGTTACCATAAACTACTGCTAGAGCACCATAATTACTTCACGGCATGGGTACTGTCACTGCTATGTCAACCCCATAGAGATTGATCCTGCGCACTGACGGAAAGTCAAAGGGTGTGAACATGTAGTACGCTTGCAATCATGTACAGCTCGGCACCACACTCAATTTTTCATTTGGCACATGTTGTATTTCTTGTGCATAGGGTATTACGTACGTGTGCAGGGCTGCTATTCGATCGTGAAGAAGTTCCTAGCCCAGACTGGCGGTGAATGTCAGATTGTCTCGCTCGGATCCGGCTTTGACACGCTCTACTGGAGACTTCACGTGAGTTCCGTGTTTCTTCTGCCCTCTTCCTGAGACTGAGTTCATGTTCCCGTAGACCTGTTGCATTTGAGCGGTCTGCGGTGCTGCACTGGAGTGACCCAGTTAGAACGTCATAACCCCCAAGAGTGTGCGACTCCAGCAGTCTGCAGCGAGCGGCAGAACTTCACATCACATGACAAACTCATTCGCATTATTTGCGCAATATGTATGATAGATACGGGGTTGTACGCAACCCTGCTTTTGGGTTCAACTCTCTTGTGGTCACTTTGCACTGTTTGCCAGCGTAATCTATTGAACCATGTCACGTGATGTGAAGTTCAGTGCTGGATAGAGGTTGTGCAGGCAGTTGCACACTCTTGGGGCTAACCGTTATGTACTCTTGAGAACGTGGAGGACAGGTTGTGCTCAAAGTGTGTACGAAAACAGTGAGTTGCCAGCACCTCGGGCCTTTGGGGCAGCACTGGCGCTAGTCTTTTTGGCAAAAACTGAAGAAGAAGGGAACCTAGGCCAGTAGGGCGCCTTTTTGACTGTACACGAACATTCATGCCAATCCGGGTGTTTATTGAACTTTAGTCCGCCCTTCCCTATGCGTTTCAGTGCAAGCAAAAACACATGTTCTCCACTGATTCAGATTTTCCGGGGATCTTGAGGACAGTGCCGCGGGCCGTTCGTATACAACGGGTCTATTACAGTGCAGACAAAGCTTGAGTTGTGATAGACACGACTACTAGTACATACACGACTCTGTTTCATCCATCTTGTACAGAGACGGTGCGTCGCTTTCCATGTGCGTGGATGCTTGCTTGTGGGTGTGCATGTTGGTGTATGTGGGTGTGATAGTTGCGTTGCGACATTTGGAATATCTTCTGCATTGTATGTAGACGGATTGCATTTTTTTGTCATTGTCTAACAGGAGGAGAATGACTTGCCGAAGTGCCTGTACGAGTTTGACTTCAAGCAAGTGGTCGCAAGAAAATCGTTGTCCATAAAGTATGCTTTGTACTTGGTTGCATAATATTAAATTATTTTGGTTTGGGTAGTACCATACTATACTAGCTTTGTTGGCTTTACATGCCTTTGGGGCAGGTGGGTGCGCTTTCAGATCTTATTGTTCTGATGGTGATGGCAAGCGCGTTTGGCTATACTCTGTTGTGAAACATTTCTCGTGTCATTTCTCGTGTGAAGCAATTTTCAGTATATTCCATTGTGTGTGTGTGTATTGTTTCACCTCCCAATGGTCTAACTAGGGTGTCAGAATAGCATGTGCTGTAGCGTTAGTCTTGCGCAATATTCAGCTAGTTACCTGTGGTAGTATTCAAGCTACAGTCCATTCAGAAAAAGATGGACTTCTAGCTTTTGGCCATAAATGGGTCAAACGTTGAGTTTTTTTAGAATTTTTTTCTGCAATCCCCTATGGAATCCTCTTCCAATTCTGTTTCTGAAGTCTATTTCTCCATGAAGCAAGCCGTAGCAAGAATAGGATTTCGGCCAGGTTTTGCCCCAAGCGCACTGAATTGGGAAAAACCATCAAAATCCAGGCCGTTTGTCCCCACCTGCAACAGTGCATTGTGCGGTTCGAACCCCAGGTCAGGTACCCTTTTGGACCCTTTTTCAAATTTCAAATTTCGCAGCACTGCACTGTGTACGATAAAATCTTGAAAATCGCCAAATACGGGAGCTTGCCAGAGCCAGCTAGGGCCCATCTTTTTGTGAATGGACTGTATATGCATGTACATACATGTACTTCAAGGTCCGTGTGTGCCTTTCACTTTTTCCTATCACTGTATGATAGTGTCATCGCCCTGCATGCTCTGCTGTAGGAACAAGCGGAAGCTCAACGAGGCTCTGATCGATGGAAGCATCAGTGAGTACATGTGATTGTACATGTATACAGTCAGCCTTGCGAATGACGACCCTCGATTGGGCATGAGAAAAGTGCTGTGATTCGCGAGAGTTGTCGTTATTCGTTAGGTTGCAGGTATGCAGTCAAACGGTTACTATAGTGCGTTTCGAAAGTCCAGACCTCTGCTTTGTGAATAGAATTTCCGAAATTGGGCGTTTGTTATCCAATTGCTTAGAAATTTATATGAGAAAAATTGCGGGAGCTGCCTGAGCAGTATTCCGAAGAAATTTCTCGAAAAGCTCAAGCCAAATTTGTGAATTATTCGAAAAAGTCCAGAGGTCTATACTTTTGAAATGCACAATAGGTCTGAAGGCAGTATCGTTATTCGCAGGTAGTTGTTATAGCCAGAGGTTAGCTGCACATGCATCCATTGTAGAACACGTGCACTAGACAGTGCATAGACTGCAAGTCAGCTGACTGAAACACATGATGTTTTACTTTGCGCAAGAATGCTTTTTCTACTATTAGCACAATGAAATCCCTTTTATATTGAGTCCCCGAAATCCGGGACAAGAGGGTTGTTATTATCCAATGGCTGAATACGCATAATGACATGGAATATTTTGATTACTGTAAGACCAGTAATGTCACTACTAATGTTAACGAACATTTAATTCTAACGATTTTTCAAATTCGTTAACAATTGAAGTCGTTATGTGCAAAACGATATGTACATGTACAGTCATTTGCCGGTTTTGAGGCAGAATTCGTTAGAATTTCACCTCGCTAACGCACAAAATCGGGAGATTGCTAACTTTAATTGACGTTAAAATATCTGGTCTTACAGTACTAGTACAATGTAGACGCTATTTGAATAAACGAGATCTCACTGCTCTTCGTCACTTCTCTCTATGAAATGAAGGAATTGCTTTTAGGCCTGGATCACGGGAAATTGTACTAGCCCAAGTTATGTGTCGTGTGTGAATGGCTATGCATTGCTGAGCTGGACTTGTGATGACATGGGAGGGCTACCATATTTAGTTCCAACATGCCATTTCCTGCTCGTCTGATTTCTGCGCGCATCCTGTCTTCTCACAGGTGGCAATGGAGTTAAGTCGTCTCGGTATCATTTGATGGCATGCGATATCCGTGATACGGACAGTATGCACGAGAATCTGCTGAAGGCCGGTGTTGACTTGAAGTACGTGCTCCGTGTGTCGTGACCCAGTGTTGAATTTCACATTGCCGTGTGTTGGATTTTGTGAATATCTTCATATAGTTATGCGTTGAGCTCTTCACTGTAGTTTGTTGCTTTCAGCAGTGTTGCGATTGATGAAGAAAAGAAAAATGACTTGTATAGAAATACACGTCTATCAGTATGCTCTGGCTGATAGAATGTAGTCAACGTCTATAGCTTTGCTTCTACATCTTTCACCAAGCGAGATGATAATGCTGCTGGTGCTACCTCCTGATGTGATGTTGTTGGTTTTGGTGCTCTGCAGTCTCCCGACGCTGTTCCTTGCCGAATGCGTGCTTGTCTACCTAGCACCAGAGGAATCTAGAGGCATTTTGCGCTGGGCCTCTAAGTCGTTTCTGTCTGCATTCTTTCTCAACTATGAACCCGTGAGTGATCGTTGTAGATGTGCTGTGTTTGTGGGCTTGTTGTTTTGCCCTTGTGTTGCCGCTTTTGCCCCAGCTTTGAGAGAAGTGAAATTGACGCCGTGTGTAGCGAACTTGCGTGTGACGAATTTCGTGATCTAGAATTTCGTGATTTCCCCTATCCAAGTTGAAATTCGCACATTATTGACCCAGGAAAAGTGGCAACAACATTGACCTTAGGTAACAAACTGGTTTTGTTTTCTAACAAGCTGAATCTCACGGTGTGACTGTACATGCAAGTTCAGTCAACACATACTCCTGCACATTGGTGTTCCAGCAGTAGGAGTCTGCTGGACATGCATAAGTGCGTAGTAGTTTATTGATCATTACAGTCATCTAGCTTAGTAGGGCCCAAGCGCTGTAGGTGCAGTGCACTTAAAAAAATCTTCTTGTACATCCGTATTCTGCAGGTGAATTTAGCTGATCGCTTCGGAGACGTTATGCGCACCAATTTGAAGGTAATTTGTATGGTGCTCCTCAGTATTTTGTCCAAACATGTACCGGTACTGCAAATCAACAAATATTCGGCGCATACAGTGAAACCTCGTTAGGAAGAACACTGATAAGACAAATGTTTGCCTAAGAAGAACTAGCATTCGTAACTGTATTGGATAAAACCTGTGTATTCACTGGGTAAAACATATGGATGAGAAGAACTCCCGTTATTGCGAACAAATATCATCGGTCCCTTGATATTCGTTCTGAAGAGGTTTGACTGTATTCATTTTCGGCTATTTTCGGCCTGGTCATATTTGGCTGAAAATTTGTTGCGGTCGCAATTTAGTTTTGCAAAGTTCAGTGTGGCGGTGTGTACAGGCAGCAGCAGTACAGGCTGAAAATGTACTAGTAATGCAGCCGAAAAAAATTGTAGCAGTGAGAGGCCGAAATTTGAATAGGCCGGAAATTTGTAGACTTACAGTATTTTGATCATCGTAGCGTCATAAGTTGTGCATGAAAAACTCGCAATGCAAATCCTGCAGAGGCAATGTCATGACAAATGCTGGTTCTGGTGAACTTCCTGCATCCTGCTGTCTGATGATCACTCAGTGTGTGAAACTTTGTTTTAAAGTTTAGATAGGAGGCTGTTTTTGTTGTATTAAACCTGGAAAAATTACAGCAGCAGCAACCTGTCTCCTGTATTCGTGCACAACCCTCTGCGCTCTGGTGCATTGAACACTCTTTCCGACTGGCCTTGATCGCGGGTCTAGCGAACCTCCTGTGTTCGATTTTGTCCGTGACGCTAGTACAGGTCAACAGCCCTCACCAATGAAACCCAGCTGCTTACAACCTGCATGCTGCAGGTCTGTACACGCTGTGCTGTAGAAGTTGTTCATACATTGCAGGGGCGTCGGACACACTACGGTCACTGCGGTATTGACCGTTCGTCCCAGGTACCCTGTGAATCAATAAGAGTAGGGGTGAAAGTTGGCACTGAGATCCCGAGTTCGAGTACTCTGATTTTCTCCGATCGAGTATTCGAGTATTCTTCATCTCCTAAAAATTGCACACTAAGGGCCTTTAACTCACATGATACAACCCTGATTGGACCGAGTAGAAGTCATTTTTCTCGGGTATATTGGTTCGTGGGTCATTTGGGCTCTCTACCTGTGAACAAATGTTCACCGCACAGTCTGCACCTCAATATCTGCCGACTGCTGCTCTGAAACTGCAGATTTCTGTGATAAATGCATGCACCATGTATGAACGAGTACTCTGATTTATTCCGAGTACGATTATTTTTGAAAAAACCGAGCGAGTACTCGAGTACTCGGTATAATTGTTTCACCCCTAAATAAGAGGCACTGATTTGGGCTCTAAAATTCGAAAAAAATTCCCAGTAGCCACCCAAACTCCACAAGTAGTTGTTGTACTTCAAGTGGTTGACCGTACCGCCCTATAATACCTTCCGACGCCCCTGCACTGTACATTGCATTGTACATTGCACTGCACTGCACTGCACTGCACTGCACTGCCCCTGCACTGTACATTGCATTGTACATTGCACTGCACTGCACTGCACTGCCCCTGCACTGTACATTGCATTGTACATTGCACTGCACTGCACTGCACTGCCCCTGCACTGTACATTGCACTGTACATTGCAATGTGCAAGCAGACGTGAAGGAAATGCGCAGTAATGAGCGCTACACTGGACTTCATGAAATGAGAACGACGAGAACCTCATTGGATGCACCGCATTTCACTATTGGTGGAACAAGGAACTTACACAAAGATAGCTGCCCAGGGGAATTTAGTGCAGAATGAAACAGACAATAGACACCCTTAGCAAACAACGGTAACGCTATTTTTTACGGTACTCATACCTTGCTCACGCAAATAGTGTTGAAGCTGCAGCGTAAAAACGTTATGGGGGGGGGGGGGGTGATTTATCGTTGTGACAAACGGTACGTTTTTGGCCAAATATTGCGTAGTGTGTACCCATTTCCCCTTTTTATCGTGTATGGCGCCATAAATGGTTGTACCGCGCGAAATAAAAGCTGTACTCATGGCAACAGCGTGCTAATATTAGTGTGCATCTTGCTAAAGGTCGAACCCGAATCTCGGTATTTTTCCCCTTTAATACGGTAATACGGTACCGATACAACATAACGTTTTTTTGCTAAGGGTGACTATTGTGGAGCTGTACCTTTGGCTGCCATGAGCTTGTGGACGAGGTTCTTTTTGTACCGGATGTACTTTTTTATGGGCAAAAGAGAATAAAGATCTAGGACTATGATATTTCTCTCCACCGAAGACGGTCGTTGTTGCCTTTAGTGGCTCCAGGGCTTCAATTACTAGCTCTGCCAGAGTCCACTGATGATCTTTCAGCAGCAAACTCCCCTTTTTTCAGTTAGCTGCAATGTAGTCGTAGTCTGGTCTTCTTTGTTGCGTAGCACAACACTTTCCAAGCTGAAACCTAACGACTCGGTGAACCACAGAGCTAAATGTACTTGAGTTTTCAATCTGGTCATTCTTCGATTGCGCTGGCGAGGGCTGATTTCATCCAATGGCTTCCCTCTCATGAGCAAATGTTGGCCTATTTCGTTTTGTTTGTCGATCTTCTTCTCCGGGTCCACCACACGCCCCTGCATGGCAGCCAAGTCTGTCTGGCTAGCATTGCTGGCGATGTTCGCTTCGTCGAACCGCAGTTCATAGGTTCGCCAGTTGTAATGTCGTGGGTAAACCAGACTAGTCACTCCATGTTTCACAAAACGCAGATGATCTTTCAGCAGCAAACTCCCTTTTTTCAGTTAGCTGCAATGTAGTCGTAGTCTGGTCTTCTTTGTTGCGTAGCACAACACTTTCCAAGCTGAAACCGAACGACTCGGTGAACCACAGAGCTGAATGTACTTGAATTTTCAATCTGGTCATTCTTCGATTCCGCTGGCGAGGGCTGATTTCATCCAATTGTCGTCGGGGGGTTTTATTCCCTCGCACGATAGCCCTTCCGATTACTCTCTTATTCATACATCACACGTACGCCACACTCAGAGGACAGATTATCATTGTTGTTCCAAGGAGAGTCTCAGGAAGAAGGCACCCAAAACAACCAGAATGCGCACGATAAGCATGCAAGCATGCGCACAACAACAAGAACATGTACGATAAGCATGAAACCGGCGCAGTCCGCGCACGGTCCGCACCAACGTGCCAAAAGGGGCACCCACGTGCCAAAAGGGCAGGGACAACATACTTCCACATGAAAAAAATCCATCCTCTCCTGAGGATGGGAGAGAAGAAAAACAAAACGAGAAGACAGACAGGAGAAGAAGACAGGAAGAAGAAAGAAATGAAATATGTACAACATAGATAGGCGAATATATAAACAAAAAAAACACAGACGAGACCGTTGGGCAAGTGACGAATAGGCCAGGAGGGTTGACACCAGCCGGGAGCCCCGCGAAACTGTGCAACAATGGAGGAACCTGCAAGCAACAGTTTCAAAGAGGACCCCGGCTGGCGAGCTGCTCCACCTGTTTATGCCCTATCCTTGTAGGGATCTTTTACAGAACAGCACCAACCTAGGACACCAGTCACCCAAAGGAAACGACGAACAAAAAATACATAAGGAGGAAAAAATTGAGCAAATTCATTGACACCCAAAAGGGCAGGGACAACACAATGGCTTCCCTCTCATGAGCAAATGTTGGCCTTTTTCGTTTTGTTTGTCAATCTTCTCCTCCGGGTCCACCACACGCCCCTGCATGGCAGCCAAGTCTGTCTGGCTAGCATTGCTGGCGATGTCCGCTTCGTCGATCCGCAGTTCATAGGTTTGTCAGTTGTAATGTCGTGGGTAAACCAGACTAGTCACTCCATGTTTCACAAAACGCAGATGATCTTTCAGCAGCAATCACCCCTTTTTCAGTTAGCTGCAATGTAGTCGTAGTCTGGTCTTCTTTGTTGCGTAGCACAACACTTTCCAAGCTGAAACCTAACGACTCAGTGAACCACAGAGCTGAATGTACTTGAGTTTTCAATCTGGTCATTCTTCGATTGCGCTGGCGAGGGCTGATTTCATCGAGTTCGAAGATCGTGTATTAGCCAATCTGTCAAATGGTCAGTGATATCCCTCACAGTGGCAGCTGACATGACTTTAGGAGCTGGTTTTGCAACGATGTGTGACTCCATAGACGCCGGTGCTTTGGGTTTCGCCTGGTCACTACTAGCTTCTCCGGCAGACTTTCCAAAAAGCAGGGGATGAACACGTGTTCGCGCATCACCGTGTACACAAGTGTTTTGTTCTGTTTGCATTCTACTTTCTTTGTCCAAGGGGTCCTTTAAGAAGGTCCATATCGCAGAGCCCTTTTCCCTCGCAGCTATTCCACATCAACAAAACACTACTTCGAAGTAAGATCGAAACTGGGAACTTCAAAGATCACTTCACTTGCGGAACAACGACCAACTAACCGCTTACTTCACTCGCACACCGAAACGTCGGCTTTGCTCCAGTGCACTTGCCGAGTACTGTAGAACGGGTAATTTTAGCGACTATTAATTTTAGCGTTTTCCCATTGTCAACCAGTTAGCGATGTTTTATTTTAGCGATTTGCAGCGATTTTACTCACGGATCACCAGTGCACTACTAATGTCTCAACGGATTAGCGACTTGAAACTTTAACAAAAATGAGCCGATCGCTAAATTCGCTAGGGTTTTTACGTGGCTAAAATTACCCGTTCTACAGTAGTTGATGAACAAGCCAGCGCAGTCACGGATCGAGCGCTGTACAGGGAGACTCCGAGTGGTATGTGAGTCGAATGTGTCTCCATGATGTTCAAGGTGAGCGTCGCGCGTCACAGGGGGGGGGGGGGGGGGGGTGCACTGTGTACAGAAGGAAATCAGATCGGACTCGCTTCTGTAGACCTGTGCCCTGTGCCCTATCCTCTATCCTCGCCACTTGCACCCTGGTGAGCACTAGCGTAATTGCAGAGAGTCGAATAGGACTACCACTAGCGTAGTACAGGAGTACAGTCCGACCTCGCTTAACCGCACACATCCGTTTCCCACAAAAATATCCGGATAGGCGAGGGAACCGGATAATCGATCACACATACTGTATGTGTGCATGGCATATGCTGTAAATCGGTGACCAACAATTTTATTCCGGATGGCGAGGGATCCGGATAAACGAGGTCTGACTGTACACCACGGCACTGTGTCTTGCACGTCTGGCTACTCTTCAAGGTCACGGTCTCACACAACACTTGCATGCGACGTTACTCGGGGGAGTGCAGGTTGCGAAGTTTGCGGAGCGAGCCTTAAAAACCTCAGAAAAATACGGTAAAGATTTTGTCAAAAATAAAGATTTGCTAATGGTGTTTGTACTGAATGCACAGCTTAATCTATTTATTGCGTCAAAAATAATCGATGATCGTTTCCCAAAGCTGGGTTACGTACAGCCCTGAATCTATCATGCACATAGTGCAAATATTGTGTACAGGTTCATCACGTGATGGGAATTTCTGCCGTCGCAGACACCATAGCTGGAGTTGCACACTCTTGGGGGGGTTATGTACTTTTAATAGTGCCAAACATTGCACGGCTCAACAGCATCGGCTTTTAAAATGGTCAGAGAAGCCACACCAGTGGGAAATGCATTGCGGTTGTCGACGAGGTTTGACTTTATGTACATTGTGAGTGTTTATTGATAAGTTGATAATCACCTTTCTGTCTGTGTTCCTGCTCGCTGTGTGCAGTCACGAGGATGCCCATTGCTCGGCGCACTGACATGCAAGACTGTTGACGATCAGGTATGCTGCACAGGGGCGTAGCTGGTCACCCGTTTAGGGGGGGGGGGGGGGGGGGGAGGGGACGACGACCATATATGTGTAGGATGGCTGGTGCATGTCATTCATGGTGATTGTGTGCATGGTGGACCTAGGTCGACTTTCTTAGGGGGTTCACGTGCCCCCCCCCCCCATTCGGGCTATGCGCCTGGTCCATGCTGGCTCTCAAGGCATGCATTGCTTGGCTGGGGCCACTCCGCTCACATATCAGGTTTCAGTGATTTACTCTCCCCTGCGGTAGTGGCATTACCCCAGTCACATGATTACACAACTGGCTGACGTGACATTGCCACTTATGCCAGGCCCTTACCCGTCACTGCCCTGGTTTAGATAACATGGCCGAGCAAATACACACCGTATCAGCAGACTCTTGTGAAGACTGAATCGCCTTCAGTAGCCGCCGACAACATAGCTGAAGTGACGTGAAGTGAAGAAAGGGCAGGACGTTTACACTATTCAACTGAGATGGAGAGTTCTTGCAGACATAATGACTGCTTTTTTTAAGTTTAATATGTGGAATGGTTTCAGTTCATGTACAAGTACTGAAATATGTGCTGAAATAGTTAGTGTGCGGTGGAGTTTAGATTAATGACACTACTTTGGTAGACGGAAACTAGTCACTATAATTATTCGATCTGTCACTTTTGTGTGTTCAGAAATCTCGTTTCTTGGAGTGTGGTTGGGCGCATTGCGAATGTCTGACTATGACTGATGTACATCGATACCTGCCTGCGGATGATGTGAAAAGGTACGGTATTGTTTAGTGTTACGTTGGAGATCAGTGTGTGTGTAGGGGGGGGGGGGGGTTGAGGAGGGGAGGGCGTGAAGAAGTTCGTTGCTTTACCGCCGTGTACTACTACTAGTTCTGGGTGTGTCCTGAATCTGGAGACTCGAGTGCATGTTCTCTATGCTAGTACATGTTGCCCATGGCAAGTTCGGGTGGGTTGCATCGACATGCTCGTACTGCAATCGTGCTACATGTATGCTGCTGTTTTCTGTTTTCCTGTCTTACGACAAGGATGGAAAGGTTGGAGTTTTTGGACGAGACAGAAACGCTTCATCAGCTCATGGACCACTACTGCTTCAGTTGGGCAACGAATGACCCCACGAATATTGGTAAGTTTTGTATTCCATGTTTAATGCAGCAGGATCACTGATGCAGCGGTGATCCTCAAAGTTGTGTGCGGCCCTCTTTATCACGCTAACAAGGATATCCATTCTAGGATAGGGTAGTGAATGGTTAAGGCGAGTAATTGTGGTTGTGTATGGATGTATGTGTGTGATTTTGCATTTAGGTCTGGCGGATATTGGATTTCTAGGACCCCGGCGTTGAGTGCAGCGTTCTGGTTTGGCTCTAAGTGCACTCCACCGCCGTATGTGGCAGTTTCAGTTCACCCACGTATCCATCATGGCTTCTCACCAGCTCATGTGTGTTCACACGTGCACACATACACACAGATGAAGATGGTCATTTCTATCTCCTCGGCTACGCTTGAGGACCATGCTACTCGGAGCATGCTGCTGTGCCTGGATGTCCCTGGCAACTGTAATGCCCATTCTAGGGTTTTGTAATGCAGTTTTCACAACACCACGGTAACCATCAGGCATCCTCTACCAGAGCTCATGCAGACACTGTGTCTGCTCTGTGCCTACTCACCAGCCAGAAATCAGACTTGCACCTAGGCAATGTTCGTTCTGTTCCGACCAACTCGTATCATTTGATATAACGTCACTGCTATGTTTTCAAGTAAACCAACTGCTCGACCGCAGTAATCAGGACATTGACTCTACAATTATCATCCTCATCGCCGCGTGTTTTCAACAGCACAATGTTGACACCGTCTTAGCGCCACGTCTACTATGCATCACCAGGAATGGTCCAGGTCAGGTTGCTTTGACCAGCTCGTGATGATTTGGCAGGAATGGTCCAGGATGCATTGCGGTACTCGTGCCCCGCTTTCGCTCGCAAAGTTGTGAATCTCTGGGGGCTTTGAGTGCCTGCATCAACCATTGTCCTTGTCTGGAGAATCTTGATGGCACGACGTTGCACAGACCTTTCTCCAAAGCTACGTGTGTTCGCGGTCCCTGCACTGCAACAGGCGGGCTACAGTTGGGATCTGGTACTGCTTCTTCTAACGTTGTGGCGACAGCATGACTAGCGACTGCCTGTGCTTGTTCGGTCACCTGTCGTTCATCCCACTGTGCGGTCTTTGTGCTAATTTATTTCCTAGGAGAGGGGCGTGTAAAAGCACAGGTGCTCGTTCTTCCTTTGATACTGCTATACCCATGTGCTGCCGCTGCTGCTGCTGCTGCTATCCTCTGACAGAGATCAGGGTTAAATTGGGGCACAGCGTCCCTCGTATATCTTGTTCTTTTGTCTTTTAAATAGCCTTGCTCCACCAAAAATACGAACAACTTTCTCAACTTGAAAAAGTCTACAAATTTCTTCTTTTGCAACTACTTCCAGCATGTTTTAACTTATTTTCTTCGGTGCTGGAGTGATGTCTTGAACAGGAAGAGCAAAGTAATGCTGAATATCTGCAGTGAAAATTGATTCTTTGATTCCCCTGGGAGTGGAACTAATACTGTAACTTGATCGTCCGTTTTTGGCTTGCAGGCTGTAATTCTTGGGGATGAAGGGATAGTCCCCAATGTGAAATAGTGGTATGGCAGAAGAAATGTTGGCGAGCGCCGAATATTAGCACATTGCCCTGTGGATTGTAGATCAAGTTACAAGAAATACTCTTTGATTGAATTAGCGATGCAGAGACAATTAATGATGTGATGAATCTTATTAGTGAGTGCAATAAAGAATATAAGTGATGCAGACATGGCCAGACAATGGGTTTCTAAAGAATTCTATTATCCAAAATCGATTTTCGCGTTCCGCTCGTCAGTGAATGGTATCGGAATTTCTCCATGCCGACCCATCAAATAATATTGGTGAGGTGGACATTGTGAAAACAAACAAGAATAATATTCAGATTCACCATAATAATTATTATGGTGAATCTGCATGTACATACCCAGTTTCGTAATCTATTTTCACGGGACACTCATCAGGGAAAGTCGTCTCAACAATAGAAGCTGCCGGTTATGCGGTGAAACAAACTTCTACTTCGAAGTACGTCCAGAGGATCGTGCGACGTATAGAGGTGAGGTGGGACAAAAAGGGAGAGAAGAAAGAAATGAAATGTGAAGATCTGAGAGTGTTTCAATGGTGTGAACTAATGCCAAGGGTGAGTGCATTTTTTTTAAGTGTGGCAGCCGGTGAAAAAGAGACGCCTGAATGTGATCAAGTGAGAAAATGTGGGGTGTGGGTGCATGTAGATGTATGAAGATGCGAATGATAGGTGAAGAGTGTAAGTGTGTGACAAATTGATTAGGGCTGTGTTTACATGAGAAATTTCAACCCGGGTCGAGTTCAGCCCGGGCTGAAAGTCTGTATGAAATAGGTGAGCGTTTACATGAAGACAGTTGACCCGGGTCAAATACTGATATGCCGCCAAAATTCCACTTCTAGAGTCCTGTATGGTCACGTGAATCCTTTCGCGCGGAATTTGCATGTGCAGTGCTGTTCAAACCTGGCGCGAGATACGCACAGAAGTACGATATCTTTGACCCGGGTTGATTTCAACCCTCCCCTTGGGGGGAGGGAGGGTTGAAATCAACCCGGGGCGAAATTTCAACCCGGGTCAAGCGCAATGTGTCATGTAAACGCGCCATTCATTTTGTGTGCATGGCGGGTTGAAATCTGACCCGGGTTGAAACGCTTCATGTACAGCCTAGGGAAACTTTCATGTAGATTCACTATAGCTGTTCTTGTTTGTTTTTCACAATGTCCACCTCTTTGATTGCCAGTATGTTATACTCTGTATTTATAGGATTAGCCAGAATTGATCGCCTATCGAGTGTAAGGGGGTCAGTATTGGCTTTTTGAACAACAAAATCGATGCATTGCCTCCATGTAGTGAGGGAATCACATTACAGGTGGAGATAATGGTTAAAAAAAAGTGGACTCTGATGGAGAGCCAACGACAAATTTATAGAAAAGAAAAGGACCAAGGAACTACAAGTTACGCAATGATTATGAGCTGATTGCGTAGTAACTGGTGGTGTTAGTGGACATTGTAGCGTAACTTAATTGTAGTTCCTTGGTCCTTTTTCCTTTCTATAAATAAAAAAAAAGTAGGATTTGGTACATACAGTAGAATTTTTTATAGAGACTGGATAGAAATCTCCAACTGTGCAAAGAACCCTGAATAGATTGATCAGTCCGAGTGAAATGTGTAATCTTTCATGAATGGGACATTCTTCATTTTCTCAAGCACCCGCTCCTTCATGTCTTCCGGCCACACGACGAGTTCTCGAGTGCGCGACTTTCCTGGCTTGACAATGGCCGCGCAGCTCCTCAGGTAGCCTTCGGAGCATTCGACGTCCAGAAACTTGCACATCTTTTGCAGAGTCGCGGCAGGTTGCTGTTTGAACTCGTGCGTGTGCATGTCGAATATGTGCGGGAACATGCGCTTGTCCTCGTGGCACCTGACAATCATTTCCACCGTACCAAAGAAGTGTGATATCTCGTTACGCAGGCTGGCGTGGTCCTTCACTGGTTTACTCTGCATGATGCAAACACAAGAAGCAGAAGCAGAAGTTCATTCTAACGAAAACGTCACCCGAGGCCGCAGATTGTGGACCCTGCTAGTGCAGTAGCACAGTGACCAGCCATCAGGCATGTCAACATGGTCACAGTGCAGCTCAAAACGATGGTCTTTCACCGTACTCTAGGGCTTCGGCAGCGTATTCAACTATGCTGCGTACCTTAGACCATACACCATGCAATACACACGACAGTCATTGCAAAACAAAATCCTACTTTGGACTCAAGCTGCACACTCTACTCTAGAGCTTAGTGCCAGCTTCGATCCTGTCCTGTCGAGTGTTCGTATTTTGACGGTAAACAATTCCATAGCATCCGCCTTTGTGAAAACAACAGAGAGGAAAAACGTACACCGTGATAGTTAATGTTCAGTTTGTTCGGTCTTCTGGGACTCGAAGACAGAGACAGGTGTGATGATCAAGCAGTGGCTCCAGACAATCATCAGAACCCCTCATCTATAATTATTATATTTTCGCGGTCACGGTACCTTTGTAGCTGAGAAGCGCGCTCCATGACTACGCAGCAGCAATGTTGAGATGATGTCAAATGGGTTTCTGACTACGTGAATAACATAGGGTGGCAGGGCAATCTTCCGGAGCAGCTTGGCAAATATTTTCCGTCGGCTCAGCTGCGTGAGAAACTCGACTGTCCTCCCGCCTTTCTTGTCACCGATGACCTGCATGGATTGCGCATACACACAATCATCATGCAGACGTGAACCCACGCACGTGTACATAGAACACAACGCACGCAAGAATTCACGTGCACACACATGTCCAGTGCAAGCAGTGCTAGTTGATGTCACATCTGTGCAAGTATGACAGTTTGCCTCGGGGGGGGGGGGGGGGGGGAAGGAGAAGGAGGAGGAGGAGGGGTTGCTCCGGAAAATCCGCGGAATGGGTGCAGGTGCGGTATGGGTACAGGTGCGGTATGATTAGATTGAAAGAGCAGGAGCACATAATCCCCAAGAGTGTGCAACTGCCTGCACAACTTCTATGAAGTGCTGCGACGGCAGAACTTCACATCGTGTGACATTGGTCAAAAGGCTATGCTGGCAAACAGTGCGAAGTGATCAGGAGAGAGTTGAACCCAAAGCAGGGTTCCATACAATCCTGTATCTATCATGCACAGGGCACAAATAATTTTTTTACGGGTTTATCCCATACCTGCCAACCAGCCCGATTTGGCCGGGACCGTCCCAATATCGAGGGTGGTAATAGGCACCCAAAAGTGCATTAATCCCATGCCTCGCAGCTACATTTGTATACTTTTTCATACCTAGGTATGCCATTGTCCCGATCTCAGGTTTGTTAGGGTTGGCAGGTATGTTATCACGTGATGTGAAGTTCTGCTGTTGCGGACCCCACAGCTGGAGTGGGACAATCTTTGGGTTATGTACTCTAGGAAATAGAGATGAGGACTAGTGAGTTGTACAAGTGCATCGGGTCGCAGTCTCTCTCTCTCTCTCTCTCTCTCTCTCTCTCTCTCTCTCTCTCTCTCTCTCTCTCTCTCTCTCTCTCTCTCTCTCTCGGAGGCAGATACACTCGGGTCTCAGTGAACACATTGTTATTATTAGTAGGAATGCCGTGAGTGATGACTTGAGTGCGACCCACATCAGGTGGACCGGTGGAGACGATGTCGGAAAACTCTTCCAGCAGGGTGTGAAGCTGGGATTGTTGGTCAGGTGGCAGATTGCTGGTGTTGAACATAGCAGTGACCGACTGGGCGGTAGCAGCAGCAGCAGAGGTGTACTCGGCGGGGCAATCAGCAGGAGGTTGTGTGGCCGAAGAGTCGATGGTGCCTGGTGACAGAGAGTCAAGAGGGCAGTTCTCAGGTAGTGTGATGGGGCGCTCATTGGGGTTGATTGGACGGACCGGCACCGTGTTATCAGTGACGGCAGCCTGTTGTAGCGAGGCCAACAATATGGTGGGCCATGCACGTAGACTCACACGGCTCAAACAGCAGAGGGCTATCGGAATAATGGCAGGAAGAAACTTAAGCAGAACAAATGTAATTATGGGACATGGCGGGGACGGTCACAGCATGCTAGCAGCGGAAGCGTGCATAAAACGGGAGTAGCAGAGAGCGAAGCGGCATGGACAGGTGACTGGATCATAGTGCAATGGACATGTTGGAAGCAGCGAAGCCAAGCGAACACGCTTGGGCATGCAATAAGTCAACCCCTAGAATGACCTCGGCATGGATAGAGGCAACCAAGAAATCATACAGGACAAGCGGGGTGGCGGGCGAAACAGAAATGTGCAACTCAGCGGCGCTCGACCCAAAATCGCTACGGACGAGCCATCCACTGAAAGGTTGCATGATAGAGGGAGGCGGAGGGGACAGGGATGGTTGATCGCTCAGAGAATCCCACAGTTTCTTACTAACAATCGACATAAGACCCACTGTCTAACAAGGCATTGGAACAGACTGCGTTCACATTCACCGGGATTACAGGCAGACGGCATGCATGGTCGCGTCGGGACAAACTCGACGAAAGAAGGTGAAATGGAGAGAGATCGGGAAGGAAAGCACGCGACATCAGAGAGGTGGTGGTGGTACAGCACAGTGAGCAAAACATTTAAAATCGTCGGCGTACCAGGGTGGGCAAGGAACAAGACAGCAAGGCATACGAACACAGTGCTTACGTCAGCCCCGGAATAGTAGGATGCGGCTCGCCTAGCGTCCGAGGTACTTAGTACTGCCGCCGGTAGTTTCCCGCCGGCGCAGGACGACGGGCACAGCATTCTTGGCTGATGTGACCCTGTCGGTCACATGACCAGTAGGTGATAGCTGTGTGGCATTGCGTCTGCTGAGGTGGTGGTTGGTGGTACTGTCGGGGCGGACGAGTTGGTCCTCGCAGACGGCCTTCCAACGCAGCCAGACGGTCTAGCACTGCTTTCAGTTGTTCCGTCGCCGTGCTGGGTGGCTGTGAAGCAGCAAGGGCGGGGATCACCACAGGTTCCGCGGCGGGCTGCTCGGCAGCCTGGTGTGCACCGTCCGTTGTCTGCGGGTTCAGTTCCCGAATACGGAGGCGCACCCCCTTTGAATCTAGACCGGAGATGAACTGGTCCTTTGTCAGGCTGTCGAGGTCGCCCGCCGCCATTTGGGGGTAGGCTTGCCGGGCCAGGGATCTAACAGTTTCACAGAACGCCCCCCAGTTGTTCGTCGTTTGTCTGGCGACGAGCTTGGAAAGTCGCCCAATGCAGGTCGACGCGCTTTGCAGGATCAAAGCGGGCTTGCAGCGCCTGCACTAGTTGTTGGTGGCCTCCATTCCTGGTGGCCGCCGGGAGCGACTGGTAATACAGCTGGGCCTCGCCTTCTAGTACGAGGCCCAGGAACTGAGTCTGTTGAACTGCATTCCAGTTATTGATGGCCGCGGCCTGGTCAAAATGCATTAGCCAGGAAGCGACGTTGTCTTCCAGGCGACCCTTGTGCTTTTCAGGCTGGACATGGTACGCCCCTCTCGGTTGTTGAGTAGGAGCAGACGGAGCTGGGGCTGCGGCGGGCGCAGCGGCGGGTACATTTGGTTGAGCCATCTGAGGAACATGTAAAGTTACTTATAGAAATGAAGCAAAATTGAATTCCCCGTTGCCACCAGTTTTGTACCGGGCCGCAGGATTCGTAGAGCAGAGAGAAGTAGGAAGAAAGGTCAAAACTAGGTACATGTGTGGGCAGAAGAATGGGAAATGAATAGAGATCGAACAGCTGTAACGTACAGGCAAAAGGAATGCCATTTAGTTGTGTGGAGAAGTGGAAGGTGAATGGCGAGGTGTGCCATTGGACATGAGGAGTTCCGAGAAGGCAACTGTTGAGAATTCTAAGCAAATGCTATTTGGTTTGGAAAAGGTCAGACATGCATGACTATAGAGGGCGTAGGAAAAGGACAACTGTAAGCATTGAGCAAACAATGCACTTACAGTAGTGCCAGTGTTGACTGGATACGGTGTACAGCTAGGATCGAATGCATGGTTGCTGCAGTAAGACTACTGACTATGCATGCCGGCATGGGTACAGCCAGTGTTACAAGCCAGACCAAGCACGATACGATCAATACCTAGATAGTTATTCACGCTGTAGCTGTGTGAATGTATAGACCTTATTCGATTAACGTCACAATCACGTGAACCGGGGTCCCGGGAACCAGGGAGTGGCAAGAAACCTGCACTCAGTGCACAGTGGACTCGGCGTGGGAACGTAGGAGTAGAAAAATACCGGTATTTTACTACTCCCTTGTGCAAACTGGGCCTTTCTTGCCTCTCATTTCACGTACGCGTGCCCCAGCTTACGACAAATCCCTGGAGGCGAGTCCAAAATCACGTTATCGAATAAGGTCTATACTATAGTCTAGAGTCACCAGCGTGCCAACGTTACACAACTCCTGAAGCTGAAAATGCATCAAACAATGCATGCGAGTGATAGAACGCAACCCAAATGCGGGGAAGTGACTGACCTTGATCGTCTTGCTGAAGTTTCCTTGCCACTGGCCAGGAACGTTATACGTGTATCCATCGGAGGGCTTGAATATCGTGTGTGGCACCTTCAAACCGGCTTTGTGCCTGTTGCCCAGCTTCACGTCCACCTGAGTTTTGGCGTAGAGGTATCGGAACAGCTTTTCGCGGCTGACCTTCTGATCTCGCGAGAACCGTGCACCTAGCTCATACTCATGGGCAATTACCATGTGTGGGTGTGCGTCTAGCAGCGAGGCGACCAGCGAGTGACAGCTGCGTGGGTAGCCAATGAAAAATACGAATTTCTCAATGCCTTGCACGACTCCAGGGCTTAGCGATACCCTGGGAAGTCTCGCATTGAGATTCAGGGAAGCTGGAGAGATCTTGTTTCCGGCGTTAACATTAAACTTGTGACTGAGAGGTCTGCTCCATATTGATTCATTGAACTCCCCGGCAAGTTTCCTATCAGGATCATCTGGAGTAGAAATCACACAAAGTAATGCCCTGGTCCAGTAAACATCAAATGCCCTATTCCTTCCCAGTTGTCCGTTATTTCCCCTTCCTTGCTCACTTTGCATTCTCATATTCTCATCCTAACTGCACAGAAATGGAGACCCCCTCGATAGTCCTAAGCGGCCTCTGCCTCTGGGAAATCCTTGAAATACGTCATACAGATAACACTGTGCTGATGATGATGCAATTGCTCCTGCCTGGGACAGATGTTCTGACTTCAAAGCAGGAAGTAGTAGTATGATTCACTTCAATTACTGTGGATATGCGAGTATCATATTGGCATGGAAAGCCCACCGACGCCCACCAATGCCAGGGATCGATTTATCCGGGTTCGCATCGCAGTTAAATGTTTGCGAATCAAATTTCACTGGCTGCGATTCGCTTTTCGTTTTTGATCGCCCAAAACTGCGATGCACTGGCCATGCACACCGTTATGTACAAAGACCATTCTGTACTGTTTGTGTGCAGTTTGCATGCGACTGCTGTACACCACTGCTGACTAGGGAGTAGTATTTTACTACTCCAACCAACTGGCCTGTCCTGCTCAATCCGCGCGCGCGTGTCGCGGATCGCGCTCTGTTTGATTTTGGACACTGCACTAGCCACTACTATAGCACTGATCGTACAAGACTGCAGTCTTTTGAAGTTTTGTATACGGCGGCGTTTTTCCCTGAAGTTCTCCTTTCTTCTTTCACTGTCAAGCTCAATTCAGTTTGTTTCTGTTCGACAAGACACAGTTGAAGTAGATGGTTCTTAGTCTCATGTAGCCAACATGTCACTGTCCAGAAGCGGGAAAAAGAACTGGACGCGCCAGGTGTGGCGATTCGTTTCTATGAAGAAAAGGAGAAAAGCGAAAATTCTGTGCGCTTTGAACGAAGTGTCACGATCGTTTGAGCGCTTTCCTGAGCTTTCTTTGTCGAAGGAATCAGTGGAACTGCCCTGTTGAAGGACATTGTGTTGTGAAGAACTCGAAGTCGGATGGACGCTGAACATGTAACAAGCCCAAGCGAAAACCCTAACGTAAAATACTCAGGTCAACCGTTCGTTGGGAAAAGCAAATAGCATCTGCAGTTATTGTCACCTTCTGTACAAAATACTGCTATTGTACAGATATACATGTAAACTTTCGATGAAGGAAAACTGCTAATCAATACTTGGAGTTGCTAGTCAATTGTAAAACTGTGTAGCAGTGACTGCTATGCCAAAAAATCAAAGTAAATCGATCCCTGATAATGCTCACCAATGTTCACCCCATGAAGTTTTGTTTGTGTGCTCGTTCATGACATCTGGCATTAGTATAATGTAGGTATGATTTAATACGCATCGAGCTTCACTGATGAGCTGCAAAGGAGCAAATAATAATAATAATTGGCTATCCAGATCTTTTCCACTGTTTTATACTTTGGTTTGAGCAACCTTTTAAAATATCAACGATGCACGATATTTTTTCTTCTGAGTCAATTTTAAAATGTCCGCCTCTCACGGCTGTTAGCTGCACTTGGATCGCGGCAACTTAGTTTTCTGCACGTGAACCATGAAAAATCAATGCATGCTCATGCATGTTCATGCATAACCAGTCAGCTGGCCTGCTCGCCCACGCATTTGACAGGTAACAATTCCATCAAATTTGAGATATCGCTTCGTTCTAAGTCTCAAAACAGTTCTAAAGTCACCAAACCACGCTGGTAATCGATGGCTATTCAATGTTAACATCTTCAGGAAGACTTCAGCCGTTTCCCGAGAGTTTGGGCATCGTTGCCGTTATTTTTCACGGTGTTCTTCTTCGTCCTGTCTGGAGCTGCAATTGCATCCTGGAATTATTTGAAAGTTATTTCGTGCGGGCTGTGGGGGGTTCCAACAGGCATAAACTGACATCGCTATAGGATAACTGGTAACTTTCACCCTTCAAGGAGGTAGAGCAATGAGAATTTTTTTGTGGCGGTCGTCCAATTTTTGTGGCGGTTGTGGCTGTATTTGTGCACTTCCAAGGCTTTCATTCTGCCTGATACTACTCTCTACTGTATGGGAATCGTTGTTTAGGCACATGTAGCTGTCTTATTTGGTAGATCTGCTGTTTTCAATCACTTGGGACACTTTGTCTAGCCTATTTGTCTTTCGTTCGTGCCATCTATCAGTTTTGTGGGGTGCCTTGACCTGTATTTGTGAAGTTCTCGAGTAAAGACCCCAATTCTTGACTGGGGTCACGTCTTGAATTGAATTTGCTGGGTTAGCCCTCGTTCACGCAGTTGTACTTATCGTAATAGTCAATATCTGCTTGCTGGACAGACTAGCGGCTAGAATTGGGATGACCAAATGGTCCAAGTGTGTACTAGTACACGATTATTGTTTCCATCATCGTGAAATGAGCGTTGTGGAATTGCAGTCGTCTGCCTTTGGCACTGAGGACATGAGGAGAGTTGATTGTTACTTCTGCTCAGCAATGCAGCGATCATCAGCTCTCTTTGTTCTAATTATTGAGAGGACATACCGGCATCGCAATCAAGTAAAGATTAGGCAAACCTCGCCAACCTCCAAAGAGAGTCGAAGATATTTTCTCCAAATGCAAAGACGATCTTTGTGAGTGTGTGACTTGCATTTGCATGCGTACATGAGCAAGTCACGGACCACGGCACGTGCGCGGTTACCATGCCATCTCGAACCGACGCCATCTTTCTAAGTTGCCGCTTCTTGACAGCCGTGCTCTGCCCCCTTCCCTAATAATATTTTCCTGACTAGAAGCTGAACCCCTATCATACACACGATGCAGGACTTAAGAAATGGATTTTTGTCAGCATACATGTTATTTTCCTCAGGTCAACCGGGACAACCCTCTTCATGGAAACACCCACCTCTTTTTCAAACGTTCAGTGCTCCGGACGTCACGTCGGTAAGCCCCATTTGACGCATCCGGCAATCTCTTCGCCGCCACGCGTTACGAATATGATCGTGGTAATACAACAATTGAGCGTTTTACCTATCCACCCTGATACTGAGCTGCACCGTCACCTACCTCCGGTTTTGATAGTTTCTTCCCGCACGTCGACCATTATTGGTTTGTCAACGACCGGATCACCGTGATGCTGATATGCCTGACGTGTGGCGGACGCTGGATTCATCGCGGCTTCCTGTAGATCTACATATCTAGCGTTGACAAGGGAATCTGAATCCACTGCCGCTGACCCTTGAACTTTGGTCGATTCACGCTTCGACTTGACCGATGCCCTCTGCTCATAGCTGTTGTTACGCACGATATACGCACCTAGCGCGCACGCCGTCGCAGCTAGCAAGAGGGCACCTCGCCGATCGATCCGAGCTCGGCAGGCCAGAGGCAGAGGCCAAAGCATAGTCATGATAGCGGCATATCCGGCTATCCGCTGGCGTGTACGGAAGTGAAATTTTGAAAGTCGTCCAGGACCTAGCCTAGGCCCGGAGAATTAGTTACTAGTAGTAATAGCAAGAGCTATGATTGTACTCTTGCCGTCTTGGTATTTGGCCGCACCTGCCGCATCGGTTCCGACGCCCCTGCAAATAGTATGTCCAGCAGTACAAATAAAAGTTGAAACTTCAAAGAGACATTGGCACTGTCACTGGTGCCCTTTGTGATGGTTCATGATACATCGAAGTCCCGGTAACCCAGGTCCCGGAGTCTGATGCACCTTCATTTGGACTTCAAGACTGAGACTCCAGCACTGGTATGGGGTATCTGCGACATTCAGTTTCGTGGGCAGTAGAGTGCCACTACACGACGACTGATGGGCGTGTGTCCTGAAGAGTAAGCTGAACTGCCTGAAGTGAAGGAGTGAAGGTAGTGTGAAGGCAGTAAGGCATGTGCAGCCATGACACGTGATGATGTGCCTCGGACTCAATAATAATATTATCATTAATTTAATATGGGATGCAACTCAGAAGTGAAAGTGAGTCACTGTACTGGGGCATCGGTCAACAGCCTGAACAGGTACAGCACTGAGCTCTGAAGACTGAACTGAAGTGAGCAGTACTTTTATCTCAAGGAGCCTAACATAGTAAGGCGATAGTGGTAGGCCTACAGGCAGTGCATGTAATGCATTCCCTGGCCATACCCCTCCCCCCCCCCCCCCCCCCCCAACCTCACACACGTGACACAGTCACCGACACCTGGACAATGAATATGGACTGGTTAGATATTTGCGGCTGACATGAAAGTCACGTGACAGGCAATTCTGTGAATTCTTCTCCTCTTCCTTATCCATGTTTGGGTTAGTCCCTTGTTAGCGGCCATCGTGAGTTCCCTTGGGAACGGATATTAAACTCTACTTTTCCCCATGTGCCAAGCATGCATGAAACTACTTTCCCCAAAGTACCAACTGGCAACTGCTGCTGGTTTTCTGCAGCCACTTATCAGCCGCCAACCATCAGTGCTGAGGTACCGAACATAAATATTTGGGCAAATGGTACCTCAGCATCAACCACAGTACAAACAGAGTGGGTCCACCTGCACCAGGATGAAAACATGGCTGACACAGGCAAATAACCAGGGAGTCGTAAAATACCGGTATTTTACGACTCCCTGCGAAGAACCATGGCACAACATCCAGATCCTCGGGTTCCTCTACAGTTTGAATAATACTTGAAAAGTAATTTATATCCACCATGGGCTATTTATATGGTACCAGCCAGACTTCTTTTCCGCATTGGTAGCAGGGTGTTGTACAAAAAAGACAGGTAAAGCGACTCCCTGATTGGCAGAAACGTCATCAACCCGGTTCAATGATTAGAGATGCATCTCCTAAGGGGCCATCTGGCATTGTCTATAAATTTCACAGAATGAAAAAGTTTAGTTATAACCCTTTCTCACCCACCCACCCCCCAGAAAGAAAGAGAAAACAATGTATTGACTTTACACTTAGAATGGATTGATGTTTCAACTATCAATATTTTTCAAAACGAAACCCACCTCGATATCGTGATCCGCCCACCCGTAAACGAAACTTTTTTTGTTTCGTGGAAACGATTGATAATATGGACAGCCCCTATTAGTAGTGGGAGGTGAGAAAATCAGACCACTCACAAAGTGAAGAAAAACCCATTTACACGGGGAAATAACGAAGCTCAAGCTTTTGATGTTGTTTTTGATTTGCCGTGTGTTGTGGTCCCGCGTTACACAGCGTACAAGAAACATCGGCTACCAACACCCACACCATAACGCATGCGTACTGTACTAAGGTGCACAGTCTACCCATTGTCCTCGTTCCTCACTATTATTCATTTCCCCTCTTCCTCCCCTCCTCATGGTTTTACTGCATTATGGCGCGCTTTGTCTGCGTAGACGCCGAGACCTTTGAGGTCGACAGAGCAGCCTGGCCCCGCCACCACTTCTCGCACATATTCGGGAATATAGTGGACTTTCGTAAAAAATAATAATAATAATAATAAAACAGTCATGTTAGAAGAATGGAAGGACTAGGATATAGCCATGTTACCTATAAAAATAAGCCAGCATGTGGGTCAGTAAATAATGAGGTACAGGCAATGAGCACTCAGGTTCAAACTGCATTCTACAAAAATAGATAATGAATAAAGAATCAATAAAACTGGCCAAGAAAGTCACTTGAAACCAACAAGTGAAGATATGATCAGCACCACCACCATGAGGACACCTAAAATGAATAAAAACTTGACAAGAAAGTAACTGAACCACTGAGACTCAATATGATGGAAGTAACCATGAGGACACCTTGTCTTGCCGTCTTTCCTGCAGGTAGGTAGGACAAGGGATGGCAGTAATACTGACACAGTGCAACGCAAAAACTGCACAGGCCATGCAAGCGTCTATCTTGAGTGCCATGGGAATGTGTGTAAAGCGCCTATAACACGGGTCATTTCACGAAGCGGTAGAGACGTGCGGTTTGTGGCAATTTTTTTGAAAATCTAGCTCAAGACGGAAAGACAGCGGGAGAACGATACAATAAAAGTGGAAAAAGATGGTCGCAGTCACAATCGTACCACAAAATGAGCCTTTGACTTTGCATCCAGTGCAGCACCACTGGTACAGTTCACAGTCTTACGCAGGCTCACAGATCTACATCGGAAAAAGCACATGGGGAGCAGTGCCGGTCTGAGAAATGATAGGAATACGTCAGAAGTGACAGCAACAGTACTGTTTGAATCATTCGCATCAGCCTTATACAAGGACTGTATACCGTGCAGCACAGCATCAGTCCGACTCAAAGGTGTAATTTCCCCGTAAGAATGGTATGTTCTCCATTTCGGCACGCACCATCCGTTTCAAGTCCTCTGGCCACACAACCAGGTCTCTTGTACGAGACGTGCTGGGGCGGACAAAGGCCGTGCAGGCTTTCAGCCAGTTCTCGGAACATTCCAGCTCCAGAAACCTGCAGAGTTCTAACAAGACTTTTCTTGGCATCTTCTTCAGCTTCTTTGCGTGAATATCCAGAATGTTGGGAAAGAGGCGCTTGTCTTCATGGAACTTGACATTTAAATGCGCCAGTTGAAAGTACTTTAAGATCTCACCACGCAGACCTTTTGCATTATTGATTGGTGATGTCTTGTGAGGAAAGCAGAAAGAAAGCACGCACATGCAAGCACACACACGCATGCATGCACAGACACAGACACAGACACACACACACACACACACACACACACACACACACATGCACACAAACACGCACACACATATGCACCCACGTGGACATACACATACCGAGTGTGTGTTTACTGTTACGTGCAGGCTTATGAGCATTCGCGCTCCTCACGTTTGGGCTTGGAGCCTATATGCAGCCAGTTCACCAATGTTGTTGTATACTTTATTTATAGTGGGTGGTCTACACGAAGTAGGGATTGGGTGCTCTATTCGCAGCTAATAGGTACTTTTCATGTTGTGCCAGTGATGTAAAACAATGCCATGGCTTGCGCGACTCCTGGGTGGAAAGGAAAACATGTTCCGTGCATCTGGAGTATTAGTTACAGTACGTTTTGGCCGAAAACAGTTCTCTTCTCTACGGAAAGTTCACATAGCAGAGGTCTTCCTCTGCCCATACAGTACTCAACATCCAACCGGCCAGAGCTTTCTCACACAAGAGAAGGTGGAGCTAGTGTTTGATACTTTGCTCACAAACGGCTGCTATGGCCGCGCAAGCAGCCTGCATGTGTTCTCCCATTGCAATGTGCCTTTTAGCCCTGGCCGTGGGGTGCCGGCGTCCTGGCAGTCGCAGGTGAAAAAAACCCCACAGTGTCACAGTCAAAACCGGATAATGGGCATGTATCGGTCGATGCGGTATCTCCTCGTCTGGTCTCCGTCGCCGTCAGTGTAGTCCGGAGAAAGATGCACGGTATGCCTTTTGGCCTTTACTTCTTCCCTGCGACGCAAAGTGGGTGTCGGAAACCCGAGCGCATGCGGTATCTTCTGTATTCCGCTGTAACAGTTCTGTTCACATCAAAGCAAGCTAGCGGCAATGCTCAGTTCTCCAACCAAGGATGAAAGGACACCAGGTCCTTTCCACCGTAATGTCCATGACAGCTACCGTATTTCCTCGATTAATAGACCCGGTCTTTTGTTTTTTGAAGAGGGTTGGACCCCGGTCTCTTATTTGGGCATGGTCCATTATTTGAGCACGGTCCACTATATTTTCATCGGCACATCGCTGGAAATGGTGGATTTTTAACACGTCATAATATAGAACTTCTATATTCACTGACTTGTCAGTTTCAGCACTCTGGCAAGGTACGTTCGGGCCTGATTGGAAATTTTTATTTCCATTGCTATCAGGTTCGGCCTCATTTCCTCTGTGCTGCGCTGATGAGTTCAAAAAGAACGAAACAGCATGCTGTCCGCAGATTGAGTATTTCGCTCCTGCTCTTGTAGCAGTTGAGCACTCTTGCGTGGGGTAGTGCCTTTGCTGTTTGCGTTATGCAGAGCTCACTGACTTGTCAGTTTGAGCACTCTGGCAAGGTACGTTCGGGCCTGATTGGAAATTTTTATTTCCATTGCTATCAGGTTCGGCCTCATTTCCTCTGTGCTGCGCTGATGAGTTCAAAAAGAACGAAACAGCATGCTGTCCGCAGATTGAGTATTTCGCTCCTGCTCTTGTAGCAGTTGAGCACTCTTGCGTGGGGTAGTGCCTTTGCTGTTTGCGTTATGCAGAGCTCACTGACTTGTCAGTTTGAGCACTCTGGCAAGGTACGTTCGGGCCTGATTGGAAATTTTTATTTCCATTGCTATCAGGTTCGGCCTCATTTCCTCTGTGCTGCGCTGATGAGTTCAAAAAGAACGAAACAGCATGCTGTCCGCAGATTGAGAACTTCTATATTCTATATTATGACGTGTTAAAAATCCACCATTTCCAGCGATGTGCCGATGAAAATATAGTGGACCGTGCTCAAATAATGAAAGAAAGCACTAGCCACTACAAAAATTGTAGTTGCGCAACCTAAAATCGTGTCCTTTTTGATCCACCACGTGCTTTCTTAGTGCGCATGCGCAAAGCGATGAACTCAAATAAGAGACCGGGTCTCTTATTCGGGCATGGTCTACTATTTTTCCGTGAGGCCTCTAGGAGGGTCTACTATTTGAGCATGGTCTATTATTCGAGCATGGTCCATTAATCGAGGAAATACGGTATGCAGTGCACAACATACTGGCAACTTCAGCAAAGGAAGCCGAAAGACAGTATCCAAGCAATGCTTGTCCATAGTTTCTCGAAATTCCTTTTCCACCCAGCATGATGCTCCTTTGACTCACTAGTGAATTCGCTAGTCGTCATGGAAACCACGCCCTTCATTCCCGGCATGATGTACAGGTGGAATCCTGATAATTCGAACACGGGTTAATTATCAACACCGCTTTTAATAAGAAGATTCTTCCGGACCAATTTCTACCCACATAACAATGTCTGATAATTCGAACCTCGAACTCGGCATGTCCGGTTAATTAGAAGTCCACCAGAATCCACTTACATAGATGTGTGGGATTTGTGCTGGTAATTCAAAGTTTTTTTAATTTTGTTTTCACAGTTCGCGTGAGACTCGGCTAGAGACCGAGTTTTCCGCATCCGTAGGAACGCCACCACCCTTCAAAGATCAAGGCGCAGATGCAGCTCCTAAAGCGGTTGGAGGTGAGTAGATCAGCTCACCAGCAAGTGATCAAAGATCGAAAAATCTCATTCACTGCATCCATGTTTTCCTCGTGCCAGGCCACGAGTTCCCACTTAACTGTGGGTCGCAGCACGGCTGGAAAAATCCTTCCCCTACCAAGCAGGACTTGAACCTGGTACCCTCTGTTTCTCAATCATGGCCTTAGACCATCCCACTAAGCCTGCCTGCCTATTCAAAGTTAGCAAAGCATAATTCGAAGTTCACAGTACCTTATACAAGTCGGTTCAGTGTCCGTGAAATCTGTGTCTAAGGTGTGTAGTGCAACTCTGCGCGACAATGTGAGCAGTTTGATATCCATAATGTGTTGCGGGTACATGATTGGATAATTGGAAGTTTTTCGCTGGCGTTTTCGAGTTCCAATTATCAGGATTCACGCTGTACTGCAAAAAGTACCCATTGCGCATCATACTGTTATCAGTCCTCCATAATGAACTGCAACAAAAAAAGATGGCTCTTTATCCCTACTCCCGCAACCATCGCATTCCCACTCCAGCAACTATGACGTGTACTTCTTATTCTTAGATAGTGTATAACTGACCTTTGTTGCAGTGCGGCGTGCCTTCAACGTGCGCAGAAGCATGGTTGAGATATTGTCAAATGGATTGCGTATCACATGAACAATGTAGATCGGCAGGGCCACCATCTGAAGCAGATTTCTGAATACAACGCGCTGACGGGACCTGGCTGTGAATTTGGTGGTCCCACCACCCTTTTTATCACCGATGACCTGCAAAGCAGAAAAGAAAGAGCAGCGACAGGCACGTTGAAACACTGGATGCATTCACGTACTGTGCAGCATAGTTAGTACACTCTGGCTAAGAGTGCGGCCTGTGACTACTGTACTGGTGCTGCTGCTGTATCTATACACAGTACTGTTGTGTGAAGTGCTGTGGGATACGCGTGCATGTACACACACACACACACACGCACACGCACATGCACAAACACACACACACACATACACACACACGTACACGTACACGCACACACACATGCACAAACACACACACACACACAGCTACACATACTGGTACAGTTTCAAAAGTAAGGCATCATCAGACAGCACATCATGTTGATAGGTCATAATAGCCATTAGTTCAGTGTTGCCAACCGCCCGTATTTGTCCGTATTTTTTTTAGAGAAAAACGAAGTTTTGTCCGCAGTACGGATTTCAATCGAATTATCCAGCAAAAGCGAAAAATACGGTGTCTTCGAAAGCAGTGAAAAATGGTGCAGAAGACGCCCATCCACGTGTCCACGATCAATCAATCCAAATCGGATCGCAGAGTGCATGACTGCCGCCCTTTTGGTGTTACTTGGGCCCCAGTGCGCCCTTTTCAGAGCTTGTACTAAGTAAATTAGTTGTAGAGCGCAAGAGCTCGCTTTCAATCGAGCATTTCTGGCCAGATCAACGAAGTGGACAAGCTGTGTGGACAGGGATTTCAGTTATGACAGTGTGTAGTCGTAAACATGGATTCTGACGAGGAACCTAGGCGAGAAGCTGGCCTTCCTGGATTGAAGAAAAGGCCGGAAAAAGCCGCCGCTTGCTTCAAAGAGTTGTTGTCGCTACCACCAGGAATAACGAAGAGCAAGAAGGGAATTCACTTCGCTTTCTGCAAGCACTGCAACAGTGATTTCAGCGTTGGACACGGAGGTTTCAACAATAAACACCAGCCAAATTACACTAATAATCAGTCAGAATGTCGAAAAATGAGTACGCAAAACTCTAAACATTAATGCAAAATGGTACTGGGCTGTACGCATGGGCCCCATGCGTAGAGGGCACTTGGTAACACCGCTAGTTACATGTAAGAGAGTCACTTCTGTCAAGTGACAGGGCAGTCAGTGCTGCATTGATTTGCACCACTTCAACAAAAAATATGCCAGCTACAGCTTGCACTCTAGGAGAGTGGGTAGCAATGAAAAACAATAACACTCTTTGAAAGGTGATGAATTCCCCCTAATATTAGTCGCACATCTTTACACTAAACTTCAAGGGCAAAGAATGGGTTGTGACTCACAGTAGAGTGTGCCATCCTACAGTGGAGATATGGGATTTTAAAAGGACCACTGACCTGGATTGTATCTTGAAATCGTCCTTGCCATTGGCCAGGTACATGATACGAAAATGTTTTGTTGCAGTCCGATCGGAACACAGTTGAGTTCAGCTTATGGCGAACACCCCTCTCAGCATCAACCCGAGACTGCGCATACAGTTTGCTGAAGAAAGTCTGCCTGGTCATGGCTGCATCCTGAGAAAACTGTGCCGTCATGTCGTATTCATTAGACACTACAACATGGGGATGCGCATCAAGAAAGGTTCCCACCAGAGTATGTGTGCTACGCGGGTAGCCAATGAAGAAGAGGAATTTCTTGATGGACTGGACGACGCTGGGGCTTAGATGAACATCAGGAAGCATGGAGCTATTGACTTTTGGCGTTGGTCGTGAGGAAGAACCCAGGTCCTTCCTCTTCTCAATTGTCAACTTGTTCTCTGCTCCGATGCTAAATTTTATCATATCCGAAGCCTTTCCCCATACCGATGGATCAAATTGCAAGGTCAAACCTATCAGTTCACAAACAAAAACACAAACTTGACAAAATCAGAAACAAACATGCATGTGCAAATACACACAGGTACACACATGCACCTACACACACCACCATCACCACCACCACACACACTCACATGCACCTACACACACACACATGCACCTACACACACACATGAACCTACACACACACGCACACACACACACACACACACACATACGCAGGCACACACGCACCTAACACATACACACAATTGCTCACACACACCATTGGACCATTGGACGCCCATCGCCGGAGGCGATGATAGCGATGCTACGGCAGAAGCCATAGCAGCTTGTGCTGGGATTGCACCATTCAACAGCTTGCAAGGCTGAAGAATTGACTGCCACAATTCAGCCTGGTCTACACCACACAGCTATGAAGTGGCTTTTTCTGGCCAGTGAATCCCTACTTTGTGGTCTTTTTTCCATTTTTTTCCCATTTTTTCCCGCACACACATCATACCACATACAGTCAGACCTCGCTTAACCGCACACATCTGTTTTCCACAAAAATATCCGGATAGGCGAGGGAACCGGATAACTGAACACACATACTGGATATGCATGCGGCATGTCAAAAGCAGTGGCGTCATACATACATGTAGACGGGTCCTATGCAGTACAACTAGCGTGCACAGTATGTAAAACAAGCGAGAAAAATGACAAGTGCATGCAGCTGAGTGCTGTCTGCATGCACCCTGCAGGTCAAGGACCTCGTTTGCTTGTACAACTTCCTGATTCTAGCTTCTGCAAGCCACGTGCAACCGGATACGACGAAGCTTTTGTACACATTTTAACCAGTTTGTACGCAAAATCTTGCACCGGTATGCGGATCGCGAGGTCCGGTTATGTTGTATGCATAACATATGCTGCACATCGGTAACCAGCGATTTTCTTCCGGATGGCGAGGGATCCGGATAAACGAGGACCGGATAAGCGAGGTCTGACTGTACTCCGGCATGCACTGGCTGTTGGTAACCACCCAGGAGAATGAAAGAAAAGTGAGGAGGAGTCTGAGAAAGAGAAGAAAGACGTGTGTGACCATAATCATCGGGAATCAAACCCGCAACCTCTCGATTGGAAATCGCTGCACATACCACTGCACCATATGGGACACACACACACATATCTACACACATGCGGGCACGCACCCACACGCGCGTGTGCATTGGGCTTTGACCCCCCCCCCCCCCCATCACGAGAGGCCGCAATGCTACAACAGAACCCCTAGTGCGTACGCTGCCATCGCTTTATTAATGGACATGTGCCCGTTCCTGTGTATGTGTGAGCGTGTGTGTGTGGGGGGGGGGGGGGGTCGGATGGTGGGTGCATGTATGCCACAGTGGCGTAGCAGCATGATGATGAGTGCCCTCACCCTCTACAACTCACTCCCTATCGACATCACAACCCAACATCGTAGAAATTCTTTCCGAAACAATCCAATCTTCTTTTGAGCAGTACCTGTTCAGGGTTCTAGCCAGGTCAATATAGTAGGGGGGCGGGCATGGGAAAAAGTTACCCCATGACCCATTTTTTCCATTGTCCAAAATTGTCTTGCCATGCAAAATGTAACATACAGAGTGAACCCCCGACTTCACCCCTCACTAATGTGCCTTAATGAACCCTCTAGTAGTGACTATCGACTGTATTTTCGTTGAATGGCGTGAAAAAACACAAAAATCGGAAAATGAGTAGGGGGGCGACACTTTTTCACAGGGGGCGCGCAAACGGAGTAGGGGGGCGCTGCGCCCCCCTACCCCCCCCCCCCCCTTTGGCTAGAACCCTGCTGTTCCTGCTCCGCGCACCCCCCTGGTTTCTGCTTGTTTTTCATGATCCATTGTTTATTGCCTCCCCGGGTAATTTCCATCTCGCTGTTTCTGGGTAGTATCAGTTCTATCACACTTATCAATCTTCCCTATTGGCGTCACGCCATCGTGAAACAAAAGAAGAATAATGATTACAAGTGGAATGGCCATAGTCAAGGCACATCTGTAATACCCCCAGCAGGCACAATATGAACACTCACAACAGACAAAGAGTACCCCGCTTCATCCCCGAAGCTACGCAGAAGACGCTAGGGAGGGTCCACAGCGCTTTATTTCGTATGTGTGTCCAGGCAGGTGAGCACTAACCACGCGAATGATGGTGTGACCGTTGCAGGTTACAGAACAAAAGCGTAGCGGGCAACGTGCACGCGTACGCCGTCACACGAGCACAGAGAGGGTCTTGAGCTGGCTCTCTCTCTCTCTCTCTCTCTTGTTACAACCTCCACCCCCCCCCCCCCCCCCCCCCCCCCGGACCAGCGGCATGACAGGGAAGAGCCAGCCTCTCCCCCCCCCCCCCCCCGTAGTGCTGTGGCGTGTGTTGTTGTTGTTGTAGAAGTTTATTTAACGTCGCACCACAAACAGGCGATTTCGCCTCCTTTGATACATGTGGACGACAGAAGGTGTGCATAAACTATGCCATGAGAGGCTTGGCATGAATGCCTGCATGTCTGGCCACACTTAGCAAAAGTAACCTGACCGGCCGACCCTAATACAGGAGAGTAGAGTGACCAGAAGCAATGAATTGTTCTGTTTTCGCGGATACTCGCTGAAAACTATGACTCGATAAAATAAGACAAACAAACTCGTACACAGGTTGTAGGATGCAACCCGCCTCATATCACTGTGCACACGCACTTCATGTGCAAACAAGCACTAGCACTGGACTCGAGGATACTACAATTATGTAGTATCCTCGAGTCATCACAGTGTATGTACTGCCAAGGGGTTATGTACTCTTGCTACTACTTAAAGGGGAAGTTAAGGCAAAAATTAAAATTTCACCAGTTGTAGTCTTCGGGGTGCTGAGTCGAATGGTCTTGGTCCGAGGAAGCTGAGACGCTCCCTTCCTACTTGAATCCCAATCGAACTCGCGCACTTCCACCGAAACTGGGTGACTGCGCCCTACGAGATGGGGATTTGTATGCAAAATGTCACTAAAAGCGCCATTTCGTTCTTATAAAAGCACGGATGACCGCGATTGGCCCATATGTTGTAGTCTTTTGGACGCTGAGTCGACTGGTTTTGGTCCGAAAAGGCTGCGATGTAGCGTTCCTCCTTTATTCCCAATCGAACATGGTTGAACAAGCGGTCACGTGCTCCTGCGTACACCAGTCACCTGGTCACCGTGCCTGCAGGGTACAACTTACTAGCCTGTTTGACCTTTTTTGGATGCACTCCTGTCACTCGAGTTGAACCTTGGTGTGAAATTTGTCGCCTGCTGGCGTGGTGACCAGGTGATTTGGGCACCCAGGAGCACGTGACCGCTTGTTCAGCCATGTTCGATTGGGAATAAAGGAGGAACGCTGCATCGCAGCCTTTTCGGACCAAAACCAGTCGACTCAGCGTCCAAAAGACTACAACATATGGGCCAATCGCGGTCATCCGTGCTTTTATAAGAACGAAATGGCGCTTTTAGTGACATTTTGCATACAAATCCCCATCTCGTAGGGCGCAGTCACCCAGTTTCGGTGGAAGTGCGCGAGTTCGATTGGGATTCAAGTAGGAAGGGAGCGTCTCAGCTTCCTCGGACCAAGACCATTCGACTCAGCACCCCGAAGACTACAACTGGTGAAATTATAATTTTTGCCTTAACTTCCCCTTTAAACTAGTACTTATACTGGTAGGAGCCCCATGCACATGAAAATTCATTGGTGTTGTTACATGTAGTAGCTTCTAAATACCCACCCTTCATTGGGTCGCCTCTAGGTCTGTCAGACGTCGTTCGCGATGTGACACTACGGCTGCTACTCGAGATAGCAGCTTGGCCACCGCCACCTCTGCCTCTGGGTCCCTGGCCTGCTCTGGCGACATTCTTTCTCGCCACTGCGCGTGGCTTATCGCCATGATCACCTTGTCTCAACTGCGCCACAGCACCAGTGATCGAGTAGCGTCCGGAGCCATTGTGAATAAAATAGTTGTTGCGTTGGATGACCAACAACACCAAGGCGAGGAGAATCGCGACAGCCCCATAATAAATGAATCTTGGACACCTGTTCGGGAATATTTCCCGCAACATAGCTGTGCATCATGAAAAAATGGAAACGCTCTCTCATCTCACGGGTGACATCGCTTCACTCATTATCAAGATAGAAATGGTGGAAGTAAAAACTACAAGTACTCGTATATCTACTCGAGTTCAGTTACAATCGAAGGATGTGAGGCTAGTATTACCTTGACTCCTTGATCCTTGACTGCGCAGCTAAGCTAAGCTGCTTGAGTACAGTCGACAGCATCTCGTCTACAAAATCGTCTCTTGCACGTGCGGCTTGGTGATATCTGAAGTAAGTTCTGAAGCCATAACCATGATAGCAGGACTGTACTACTCACTCGATCGTAGATCATGACTCTACTGACTGTTGACATGTCCGTATATAGAGGACTTTCCATTACATCACCTTTTTGGCGCCTTCCCGGTGTCCACCCAAAGATCACCCATAAGACAAGTCCGTGTCCTACGGAAAAATGTGCTTGGGTCAAAAAGAGAATCAAAATTTAATGTGTTGTTCGGTGTACGGTTGAAAATGATGTTGCAGGCCGTCGCAGTGGTGAAGCACTTTTGCTTTTCTTTGATGTGGTGAATAGTTTCGGTAAGTCGCGAGGATTACTAGCCGCAGTTACTGTACTGTTTATTCCAGCCTTGAAGAGGCGTTGCCGCGAGAAGATTGACAGAATCCGTGGGCCCAGTACATTGATCCATATTAACAAGAGTACATACGCAGGGGGATTGGCTGAAAGGTCTTCGTCCATAGGTTAATATCAAGAGTACATGTAACATCATGATACTGATGATTCCATCTTCATATCTCCGCAACAGGTACGCCATACGCACCAAACACATGGTGTGTGGCGTGCGCGCGTACATGCACACACTCTCATGCGTGGCCGAGTTGGCCGGATGAACAGACCACGCATTTGCACGAGGTGTCCGTTATGTCATTAGAGTGCTGTACTTTATGACTTTATTCCAAAATAGTATGTCTTGCTCCTGTGAAATGGAGTTTGTGTCTATGCTCAGCGGGTATCGGGCCACGACGCCACACTGCAGTCAGCGCTGGAATTAAAATAGCACTTCATGGATTATTTTAACTAATTTCCTTTGCGTTTACATGTACTTTGTTGAGCCCGTGGTTTCATTTCTGTGTTCTGTTATGATTGGCCTCTGGAAATAATCGGAGTGGATGTCATTTTTGTCATATGTGTGTGCCTTGTGCAACAGGTTCAAGGCTAGATGCACTTCACATTCGGCGTGCGATCTCGGCGTCTGGGACCTGATAACGTCTTGGTTGGATGGGTAATCAAGGACGATACTACTCGGCACACCAATGTACATGTCAATGTAATTTTTTACTCTTTCAGAGCTGCACTATTTACGGACGAATGTGTCTGCTAGAGAGGAAATAAATAGTATTCACAAACAAGTCCCACTTATTGTTTCTGTTCGTAAAAGGAAATTGCAATTTTTTGGTCATATTGTTCGTTCCGGCTGTTTGTCATTGACTGTTCTTCAGGGTTGTGTTGCTGGAGGTCGTTGCCGAGGCAGGCCCAGAATGTCATGGCTTGATAATATTATTTCATGGACTGCACTTGACGTGCAGTCCCTGCTCGCTGCTGCACGCGAGCGATTTTTATGGCGCTCACTTGTTCATACTTGCTCTGTGACGCCCCGACGACCTTAGGGCTATGGGCTTGTGGTGATGACTATTTACGTCTTGATGCTTACTTCGGTGCTAGCGTGTTTCCCCCGGATTATTTCTATCATCATGCGTGTTCTTGGGCTGAGCGAGCACATGCATGAGTGTGCAGCTATAGCCCTGTGTATCTTTGGTGACACTTTGTTCTGCAACGCATGTACCTTGTAACAGTATGTGCTTGCACTGCTTTGTGTGGCCTGCGTATTTCAAGACTATTCAGTGCATTTTTAGGGTTTTACGTCGGGCCCTAGACGACGGCTACTTTGGCCAACCGGACAACGAAGAAGTTGTGACCAAAGAGAATGATTTTATTTCTTGCGCATGCGTTTGTAGAATGACGTAATACTCAGTGAGTCAGGTCGCTACAGTACTCCCCCGCCAGTGGTGAGGTCGGGAGGAGCGAAGCACGATAAACAAGAAACAAGAAAGAAAAGAGAAAGGAAAGCGCAGCATGTACAAGGCGGAAAGGCAAAACTATAAGAATATGATACATATGTACAAGCGAGAGCGCTGCGTGTATGAAATTTGTTTGTGACGTGGCAACAAAGGCCGAAACAAAATCAAAAATGCAGAAAGCGGAAATGAGAGAGATGCATGACAGAGGCGGGTTAACATGTCAGAGGTGTGTTAACGTGACAGAGGTGGAGAGCATGTCAGAGGCAGAAAGAAAGAAAAGAGGAAATGTACGCGTGACAGAGGAGTGTTATCGTGTCAGAGGCAGAAAGAAAGGAAATGTACGCGTGACAGAGGAGTATTATCATGTCAGAGGCGGCTGCATGTTGCAGACTTGGCGGGATACCAGCAGGAGCGCTGCACTGGGGCGAGGCGTGCCGACTGAGGCAGGGACGGATGGAGGCGAGCGCAGCTCCATGGGGTCCGGTGCCGGGCGTGTGCCTGCGTGCGTGCACAGTGAGTGAGCTGGTACGACGGGTGGAGGTGGCCAATTTCCAGCTTGAGGCCAGGACGAATATGGACGAATACGGACGACTGGACAATGCCGTGGCAGGATAGCGGGGTATCCAGGTGGGCCGGGGAGGGTGGCAGGGGCCACAGCAGCTCCGAGGCGGATCCAGTGACGAGTGGTGGTGAGGCTCAAGTTTTACGTCAACAGCCGGCGATTGACGGGAATCCCGAGAGTTGAGGCGAGCAGGAAACTGCGGCGGGCCGAGCTCAGGGATGGCATGCTCAAAACTCCGAAGAGCGCAGCGTCAGGGGTCACCAATTTAGGGTTTTACGTCGGGCCCTAGACGACGGCTACTTTGGCCAACCGGACAACGAAGAAGTTGTGACCAAAGAGAATGATTTTATTTCTTGCGCATGCGTTTGTAGAATGACGTAATACTCAGTGAGTCAGGTCGCTACACATTGACCCAGGTTGGTTTGGTTGCCGGATGATCTCTTGTTGCGTCGCTCTGTGTTTTGTATTCATCAATTTTTGGGCTTGAGAATTGAGCTGGTGTGTGGTTCCCAATATCAAAACATCATGCTGGTGCTCTGTGTTTTGATTATCGACTGTCCGAGCAGTCGCGATTCATTACCAGAACGGTCAATACTGTAGTCTCTTGACGTGTTTGTCTTTTTGTGTTTTCGCCGGGGGAATTAGCGGTGACGTTGCACATAGAACGGCAGTGTTGCATCACTGGACGACCCTGCCTCTGACTTCATGTCCCCAGGATGTGGTGCAGATACACCAGACAGTCACTTCCTGTAAACACGCAAACAGCAAAAGAAGAGATCCCGCAAATCAGGAAAACCCATTGGGGAAAATATCGAGTAGATCATACACCATTCAATAATCTGGAGTAATTACAGTGAGACAAACACTTCACTGCTCTCTCTCTCTCTCTCTCTCTCTCCATCCTTCCAAAATACCCTGTAACAATTTCCTAGAATTATTTTATTTTAATATATTCTCAGGACATCATTCTGAACATAATAACTTCTTCCATGGGTCTTCAATCACCACGGAGGGCGAGAATATATCTAAGTCATGCAGTTTACGGGAGGTGCGAGCTGTCATGGATATAGAGGCTGATACTTGGTCCGACTTATTAAAATGTGCGCTTCGCTTCAAAACTCAAGCCTATGTCCAAAGGAGCACCTGTACTAAAAAATCGACCAAGAGACGATAGATAGATAACTACTGTGTCGTTTCTTGGCCTGACCTTCTAGTTACCATCTCTGCTGGTGTCTCAGGGCGCTTCTTCAAGTGCGTCAACCTGCAAAACGTCGACATTTTTTTCATCTCCTCCAAGCTACACTGCGCTTCCTTGATTTTTTCACTCCATAGGCACGATTTAGACGGCCGACTTCGCCTCCTCCTCGTGCAGTACGACTGCCAGAATGGTGGCTGTAGGTTTTTTCGCCTGACGCTCCCACGAGACTTTCAAATGAGGCGAACAAGTAAACCACCACGCAGAAAAAAATCACTTCTCATCACCGTGTGCCGCGCGCTTAGAACTAGTACTGACTGATCTGTGTCGACATGACTGTCACACAGTCAGCTGCATCAGACCATGCGTGCTCTCCCCGGCCTGCCTGTTTCACGAATCCACTGGCCCCGGAGACTGGCGATCTTGTGACGCATCGATCGCGATCGCGGCTCCGAGGAGTCGGCGAGGACTCCGCACCATTCACGCACCGTATTCACCCTTTCTGCGCTTCAGTTTTCCAGCCAGGTTGTCGCCTGAAAGTCGACCTCAAGGGCGGTTGTTTACATCGATCAACTTCTTGACGATCTCTTCTGTGATCTTGATTCGTCGGCCGCCACATCGTGAACGAATGCGAGAGAGATCAGCACAAACTGGACGGAGCGATGCAGGTGCTTTCTGCACGAGTTTCTGGATGCCGCGTTTGCTGAACTTACTTGATTCTTCCAAGGAAACAGCGACTGCAGCGATTTCAATCCGCCAGGAAGCACTCGAGAACGATCGCCCAGGAGTTTCTGGTACTCCGTGACAATTCCCCATCGCAGTGGGGTGTTGATTTCAGCACCAGGCCTTCTCTGTGTTGCGCAAGAAGCAACAGGAGTCCTCTGACGGCAAAATTTGCACGCAAAATTCTCGAGTCGACTAGGATCCTGAGGCGCTGCCTCCTTTGGGGTTGGAGTCATTTCTTCTTCAACAGCACAAATCGACAACTGAAGGATAGTGTTAGGTAGCTGGAAAGTTTGTTCCGTCCTGAGATTATTTGAATTTGTTTGGCTGACGTTCGAAGCGAAACGCACATTTTAATAAGTCGGACCAAGTATTATTGTGCCAGCGTGAGGGCAGAGACAGAAAGAAGACACTGATTTCTTTAACAACTCACCTACATAATAATTATTATAATCGAATCCACAGGGAGCGCTCGTACTTTGATCCATCAGGACGGGAAGAATCTTCAAAGGACTCTCAAACACGGAGTTTTACAGTGGGCAGCCAATTTCACAGCCATTATGAAGGCCCTCGACGACTACAGGAGATTTGTAGAGGAAAGAACAAGGAGTAAAGAGCGACAACAATCGCTTGAAGAAAAAGCAAAGAAAAACTGCTCTCTCTCTCCAGTCATTTAGATGCTGTTGCCTTTGACAACTGGTTCCATCCAGAGGACGCGACTTAGTCTTTTGTTTGTCCCCAGTGCTCTCCGTTGCTATGCGTATCGAAGGGGCCGTGACGTCACACTTAACAGCCCCGTTACATGTACATGTACATGTAGTTCAGCGCACGTGATACTGTACAATGTATGATGTGTGTGATAATCACTCCCCCCCCCCCACCCCCCTATTCACCATGATTCACTGGTCTTAGATAGTCTCGTGAGTCGCGGCAGGTGCGAGCTGCGAAGGCTCTGGTTCAGGTCTAGTCTAGGAAGCTTGTGAAGACTGAACTGACATAACCACCAGTGACAGCCGAAAGCCGGAGCCTTGACAGAGCATATGGCAACAAAGGAGTTGGAGTTACAAGCTGTCACTATAGTACACACAATTACAATGTGTCTACCATGTTGTCACTACTGACAGTACTGTAGTGTGACATGTGATGATGTGGGGTAGGGCTGCAGGCCATGATGTGTCACATTGTGTGTCTGCCAATTAGGGACCGGTGTGTCGACCGGCGGATTCTGCTCGAAAAGCAGTGAAATTGGCAGAACCATACAAACCTTATGGCGGGCAATTCCTCGAATTCTGTTCCATTTTTGATCCACATACCAAACATGCATGAAACTTACCAGAAAAGTACCGAATTCTGCCAATTTTTCTGCCGGCAGAATCCGCCGGACCCTACTTAGGGAGTTCAGTTCCGGTCACAGAAAAGCGAAAAGTGCAGTCACAGCTCGCCTGTACAAAGTGAATGGGCGCCTCGTGACTGCAGTTCGAGATGCAGTTCGAGGCCCGAGTATCTTCTCCCGCGGCCTTTTCGGCCTTGTCGATGCTATTTTTAGGTAGCTGAGGTCATTACCTTTCCAATGGTGCCACACATGCCATGCTTCCAAAAATAATGCCTCCGCGCTTGGCGCGGATGCACTTCGAAGTACTAATTTCGACCAGATCCGTACTTGGCCCCGCGAGGAACACCCGATTTTCGTGTTCAGCGGCCTCGAATTAGCCTAAACCAAGAGGATTCTAGAACATTGAGGCTCGCGCTTTATCGCAGTAGAAGGAAGATGATCACAGAAACCAGCCCACGGCGATTTCCTGGTGGTAGACGAAAAAAATCAAGTGAACTGCGCGCACACTGTAGAAGCAGTGACGGTGAAAACGTGCCGGTGACTTGTGCAAGCAGGCGCGCACGGCATGCGTGCACACTGCATGCATGCACACATCCTGTATCGCCATGTATGCACCAGATAGTGCAGTGCTGGACGGAAACCACACGGCTCACATACATACTTGCATTTACTTCTGTGACTTTCTCCCCCGTTTTCCGATCTTCAATCGACTATAACTCTAGATTGCCTTGGAATTTTGGGTTCAAATTTTCACAGGTTGTTTCTCACATCTTCCCGGTTTAGAAAAACTAGCGTTTTATGCGAAACTCGCGAATTTGGTTTTTCAATTGAAGTCCCTACCCTACTGCCAATGCCTCTTGTCAAATAGCGAAGACGTGAGTCAAGGGCAACCCGGAGCCGGAGAGCAACAACACCCACAATTAAACGTGACCTAAGCCTAGGCCGTAGTAACCTGGTAACTCATTACTGAGTAATGCATCACCAGTGCAGTGAGTGGGGCACAAGATGCCGCGGCGTGAGACTCGAGTCCACCAACTACAGTGTAGACACTGTACTACAAGAAAAACTAAAGATTTAAGAAAAACAATTCAGGTTACAGACTTAGTTACAGTAGCTACATGACTAGACTATCAGGACGACACCCAGGAGCGATCAAAGAATACACGACTGACGTAAGGAGAAGTCTAAAACTCCCCTAGCATAATGAGGGTCAGAACCGGGTTCAACACCCAAATGGTCCCAACGGACGGGGCAGCCGGGGCTCTGCCAACCGGGGATGGTTGTACAATGTAGTAAGGTCACTGTTTCCGAACACAGTGTCTTCCACCTTGTTTCATGCTGTCAAACTAACAACATGTGTGAACTATAACAAGGTTTATCTATTGGGTTATACAGGTACAATGACTGTACACAGACTGTACATGTATAATTATGTCAAAAAATTGTGCCCCTTTGACTGTTCCCTAATATTATTAAGGAACAGTCAAAGGGGCACAATTATTTGACAAGATTATTGAAGCATTTTACGGTATGATAGTGAGCGTGAGCACTGTCCGATAGCGCTAAACAACTGCCTTCCAACCTGGGACTCACGGAGGTTCGTGGTGATGCGGAGCCTTGGAATTATGTACATGTACAATCATGTAGCTTGTGTTCGGCTCGATAGCGCTTACCCTTCCCCTCAGTTTTGTGTTATCACTGACATGATAACCATGAACCTTCCAGGTTGCGAGGCAGTCGGGTTATAATGTTAGCGCTATCGAGCAGTCCAGCAGCTCACATTCATGCCTTGGAATGTCTCAATGCTCCTTGTCAGTGTTGTGCTAAAGTAACTTAGATTGTACAATCGTCGTGTGATACTAAACATGTTATTGCAATTAGTAAAGTATGATGATCATTTTTGTGTACTGTAGGATATCGGCATCCGGTTTGTTACTATTCGTCCTCGCAAAGCTTTCCCTTCAAGTGTTATCATTCTTTGATAAACGTGAGCCTTCCAAGACTTGAAGTTGGAACTAACTTGGATGGTTGACTTGTTGCTTTGCGTGGTTACTACCGGTAGTTCCCCTATTAAAATTAAAATAGTTTAAAAAAGAAGAGTTAGACTGTTATGTCCAATGGCCTTATCGTCCCGAGCTAGCATTCCGTGGAGCCTTTGGAATTATGTAGCTTGTGCTCGTCTCAATGACGATGGAGCTACCCAGTTCCACTTTGGTTTTATCACTGACAACCATGGACCTCCCTGGTTGGAAGGCAGTTGTTTAGCGCTATCCCGCTAGCAGTGCTCAAGCTCACTGTCATGCCATGGGATGTCTGAGACTGAGAGCACATGAACGCCTTGCTAGTGTTGTGCTACACGTTTGACTGCTGAAGATGATCTGGTGGAGTTGGTTGACTGTACAAGTCATGCAACGCGTATTTGTAAGTGAACGCATAACTTACGTATGCCCCGCTGCTTTCCTCCTTCTAATCTAGAAGAACGATGTGCGGACTCCAGTGCAGAATCATGGAAGAGAAGTGGTGGTTAAAACACACACCTGGCGAAATGGCCGCTTTAAATACACGTTCGCTCACACAACGATGTTTGCGGGCGTTGCACTTGCAGTAACACTACTATACTAACAGTTTGTTGGTTCATGCGTAGGACCACAGAGAATCAGCAAGCACCATACATGTACTTGTGTCGATTATTGTAACGAAATGATCTGACATGACCACCACTTTCACGTGTTTGCCGAGAGGTCTCGACGAGCTCGCCACAACAAGGCGTCCATCTTCCTTTACTGAGCTTGAGCACTTATCGGTAACGCTATCCATCAGCCTTCCAACCTGGAAGGTTCATGATAACTACACAGCACACTATACTAGTATGGGCAGGAGTAAATTAGCTCCTACTGTAGTAGAATGGAAAGAGAAAAGGACCAATAACTTGAATAAGTTACTACTGTAGTTATGACTACTAAGAGCATTGGAAAAACCTGGTTAAAACCAGCCTAATTACAACCAGCCTAATTACAACCAGCCTAATTACAACTCAAGAACGCAAGGCAACAGACCACCCAACTTGGGAGGCTCGAAGGTATGTAATTTACATGAAGAGGGGAAGCCAAGCGAAGACGAACTGTCACGAACTGAAAGCCAATATCCTACTAAACTCCATGTTGATGTAACGATGATGGACAAGTTCCCAAGTTGGGTGGTCTGTTGCCTTGCGTTTTCGAGTTGTAGCTAGCAAGACCGGTTTGTCCCGGCAATGGTCTTACTAGTCTCGTCATCATCATCCCGTAACGTTCGACATTCTTTCTTGCCTAGGGACATAGCTCGTGCACATCTTCGTGGCGCATCCCTTCCCCTCATTGGAACTTTCCGCACCTGAGCCTTCCAAGTAAGTAGTAGTTGGAAGATTGTTGGTTTGCGCTTCGTAGATGTGTTGGAGCTAGGTGTCAGGTCGTCCTCAATATCCTTGTCAGTTTTGTGCCTTGTTGTCGCACTATCTGACTGTATATACCGGTACTTGAAGTACATGTAAATTGATGATGTAATTATCTCGTTACCTAATTATAGCTAAGGTCCTTGGTGGACTGTTTGTCATAACTACTAACGTAATGACATCAACAATATTATTGCTTTCTGGAGCGGAGACAAGAATACAATCAGACCGTGAAGAACTAACTTCCATTCAGGCTCCTCACAAGCAATAGCTCCGAATATTTCCGCCGGTGCTTTCATGGCTTTGTCATCAGGACTGAGGTGGATCATGGATACACTGAGGCAGAAAAGAAACTAACCAGTATGATCACTATTACTAGTATTAGACAAGTCAGGCTCATGTACTGGCAAAGCCAAATGAACGTGTAGCAGTATAAATACTCAAAAATGCAATGAAGTAAATGGTGTGTGTGTGTGTGTGTGTGTGTTCAATGCGCAGCTAGCCTTACTTGTTGCGTTCATATCTTTCCTGTCGCACCCGAAACTTGTTAAATTGTTGTTTCTCAAACATACATGTACAAGTAAAATTATGAAAGGTGTAGAAACATCCAATGCTGCCTCTGCTGATGGTTGCGATGCCATTGCCGTTCTTGTTAATCTTTTTTGACTCATCCGATGCCACTTCTGCCGATAACGTTGCTGCCATTGCTGTTGCTGATCCTGTCCTCCTTCTAAATTCATTGTTCTGCTGGGTCACGTCTGTTGTTGCCCACAACACCAAGGCAACAATGGACATTTGAGAGTTCTCCTGAGGCTACCTACATGCACTGTACCACTGTGACACATCCTACCTGGCATTCGAAAACAGAGAAAGAAAACACTCACATTTTTTAAGTTGCTTGTTGACTCAGCTCGCTTCTTTTCCTTTCCTCTCCATTTGCTATGCTATGCTGTGCTTGTAAGTTGTAACCTCATCTTCTCGTCTTTTCACTCCATTGCGTATACGTGTACACTAACTAGAAGCACTCATTGGTTTGGGGGAAAGGTGCAAATGGGAAAAGTCTGAAGAAAAAAGTGGACTGTCACCACCAGGACTCAAACTAGGGGCTCTCGCTGATGGCCAGCGATGCTCTACCACTAAGCTATGGTGTGGTCGTCACCCAAACAGTGACCGTTCAACATTTTCTTCAGACTTCGAAACTCTTCGAAACCAACATTCAGCACTGCTGTAGGGGGGGGGGGGGTAATCCCACCTGAGTGAGCAATGTCTAAACAATGCCAGAGCAGCGCTATGACATTTTGGAGAATAAGGGTGGTTTTGCAAAGTACAAGTTGAAAGGTTTCGAAACGGGTATGGCCGTTATATGGAGAATACTAGAATCATTCGTTCATTCATTGGATTGGTATTCGGGCAAACAATCATGGTTCATTACACCACTATAAAATATGCGCCGCTCTTCATTCAGATGTTTTAGTGCAGAAGAAACGAAGATATTTTGTAACTCTCACTGTGAATCGTATATACATCGTGAATCGTATATACATCGTGAATTGTATATACATCGTGAATTATCAGAATAGATTGAGTACATCGTGAATAGTATAATTATATCATACGTATACTCGGATACTGAGCCAAAATTAAATGGAAAAATAAGAAAGGACACATGGGTACAAGTCATGAGTAACTGTCTACTACTGCTTCGAACGTCATCGTCCTGTAACAGTCGTCATTCTGTGTCGTTGTGGGACAAAGCCTGTGAACATTTTCGCTGTGCTTACCTTTGTGCTCAGTTACTGTACTTTCTTATCGTACTCATGTGTCCTTTGACTCCTTTCTGAGGGTGCGTTCTTATTTTCTCTAGCTTCACGGAGAAATTTCTCCTGGAAGTCGAAGAAACCGGGATAATTTAGGAACGGGTCTCGAAGAATTCGGAGATCTTTTGCAAACGTGAAGCGCCAAAGAGGTCACAATCTTCAGTGACACGAATGTAGTACGCACTGTGCGTATGCGAAGAGGGAATGCCGTACGCTCATGATCAACACGTGGCTTTTTGGGTAGTTTGCATGCGCTAACCCCAAAACCCAGGAACCTCAAGTCTCAACCACCTCTGAAGTTCGGAGAGCTTGGAGAGCTCTGGAGAGTTTCATGAAATTCAGAGAGGATATAAAAACACTTCTCGAACTTTTCCGAGAGGACGCACCCTTAATTTTACATTCATACATATACGAGTACTCATACTTCCTCCACTATTCATTAGTTGAGGGAGTTAAAAAGGTATACTTCCTCCGGAAATATAAACTTCGTGACGTTATTTATTCACATTCGAAGTAAAGAGTTACCAGAGGCGTCGGAACCGGTGTGGCAGGTCCAGCCAGAGATGCACCAATAATTCCATCTTGTGAGTTTTGAAGCAATGAAATATGGGCTAATTGGGCCCAATTTCCCTGAAACATTTCCCGGGGGGGGGGGGGCGGCAGGCGGGCGGACTCCCACCTACTCATGCGGCCGCACCGATGTCGAAGACCTTCCGACGCCCCTGGCTACTGTTGCTCAAGCAATGTGGTTCAGTCGAACAAAAAATACGTCGAGACAACGAGTGGACATACTTCCTTGGCCAGTATGTTTACTATCATGCAAAGGAAATTGGCACCGCACGAGTCTCACTGGGAGTCACCATCGCTCAATTCCTCAGAGCTGAATTCACCAGACTGACAGGTCGATCGATATCACAGAGTTTTTTTGTTTCCAGAGGAAGTAGTTACAGCTGTATATTACTTCAATGTATTCCACAGATCAGTGGCCTTCTTGCAGGAGTGCGAAGGAAGGTGCATGTTTTAATGATTTAAAATTATTACTGCAGAGCAAGGTCATCACTCACCATTGCTGCGATGGCCGATCCATTCGTTCTCCCTTTTACGGCCTTCTGCCCAGGGCTGCATGATCACCACGGGGTGCTATTGCGAGGAAATTCAGCATGAGAGTGATCGCCGGCGGCTGTGTATGACCGGCGGTGGCTGTGTATGACCGGCGGTGGCTGTGTATGACCGGCGGTGGCTGTGTATGACCGGCGGCGGCTGTGTATGACCGGCGGCGGCTGTGTGTGACCGACGGTGGCTGTGTATGACCGGCGGTGGCTGTGTATGACCGGCGGTGGCTGTGTATGACCGGCGGCGGCTGTGTATGACCGGCGGTGGCTGTGTATGACCGGCGGTGGCTGTGTATGACCGGCGGCGGCTGTGTATGACCGGCGGCAGTATACATGCGTGCAGTTTCTACAGTCTCACGCGTACATTTACGTGCACACTGCTGCCGATACCGAAAATCCATGCTTGAGAGAAACGGCATCTCCAGGACGTACAGTTCATCTGATGCTCGGTGCCTGCGGAGCGGCCAGCTAGATGCCTGCTTTGACAGTACAGTACTCACAGCCGGAAACAACGGTTGGGTGGGCTGACCATGGACTATTCGGAATCAAACGAATATCCACTGAGAAAGGCTACTTCTTGGATCTTCCTGTTCACTGTGTCTTTCAGGTGCTGAGGCCAGACAACACGTTCCCTAGTTCTGGAAGCACTGTGATGGATAATAGACTCACAGCTGCTCAAGTATTCATCAGAGCATTCAATTTCAAGAAAGCGGCACAGCTGGAGCAGAACGGCCCGGGGCTGCTTCTTCAGATCTCTTGCATGGATGTCCAATATCGGTGGAAAGTCCTTTCTCCCATGACACATTGCATTCGCATCGACAAGCCTGAGATATCTCACTAGGTAAAACTCAAGCTTCTCGTTGTTCTCTACCGGTGTAGTCTGGAGAAAAGAAGGGAGAAAGTGGAAATTGGCCCGGTATTTAAAACCAAGAAGCTAGAGCTTGTCTTAACTTGATTATGCCCGTGGCGTAGTACCCAGCGCTATCGGGTACTATACTTGTATTCACACATTTTCCTTGAGGGCTATAGTGCTATGGTTGCAGTTGAATCCGTAAAAAATAACTCTGATAGTTACACAGAGGCAGTGCGCCTTAACCTGCAATAGCGCTCAAATGCCCGGAATGGGCAGAGCGTAGTACATATGTTGTCTGATGATTGTATAAACCTAAGGTGTAGCCGTGACAGGTGAGAGAACACAACAGTAACTGCCAGAGTTCCGCAAGAGGTACACAGAAGGAAGTAATCGATAGGGCTGTTTCGTAGTAGAAACTCTGAGTAACTACGAAACAACCCTATCGATTACTTCCTTCTGCGTACCTCTTGCCGAACTCCGACAGTTACTGTTGTGTTCTCTCACCTGTCACGGTTACACCTTAGGTTTATACATAGGAAGCTGCAGCTGTGTTTGCATCAGTAGACTTTTCTTATACTGTACAGGCAGAAAAAGCCATCGGTCAATCATTTCGTCCAACTCCTAAGAAAGAGAGTTCGTCCGGTTGTAAATTTCGTCCATGGATCATAAGAGCGTATTGAAAAGCTGGACAAACCGACATAAGCCCGGCATTTAAATTTAATCCAAAGCTCCTTGGACGAAAAAGACGAAATTAAATTCCAGACGAATATTTCTGCTTATACATGTAGTACTAGACAGTGGTTCTAGCCTGAACTCATACATTGGTGCAGTGCAAAGTGAAGATCATCGGGCCATCAAGTCACTGCAGGGTAACTACAGCAAGCAGGGATCGATGGCTACAGCGAAAGGGCTCCCTCCACAGGAGTTCCGACTCTCGACCATGCAGCCAGTTTAGCAGTAGACTTTGAGCTCTGGCTGTGGGATTTCGGCGACTACCTAGGAATAGTGGGAGTCGTGCTTGATTATTGTGCAAGCGTGTAACTCAAGTTGACTCGCAATAAAGCTTTGTTCCACCTTATTTGCAATATGGACGCATGGAGTCCATTGCTCACTGACAGGGAATGAACAATAGGATATGTTGTCTGCTAGGGTAACCATGCAACTGCAGCTTGACCTAGACATGATCTCCCCATCCCCCCCCCCCCCCCCCACACACACACACACAGTTGCCTGCACATGATGTCTTACATTATTGGCGGAGAAGCGGCTACCCATTTTGCGTAGGAATATGGTTGAAATGCTGTCAAAAGGATTCCTAATGACGTGGATGACGCGGGTAGGAAGACCAACTCTTTTCAGCATTGATGAGAGTACACGATGATACTTGGTATACGCCAGAAATTGGCTAGTTGATCCACCTTTCTTATCTCCGATAACCTGCATACGCGCGCACACACACAAACACGCACACTTGTACTTGTACTTGCTCACTGCCAAAACTGGTCACGTGGGTCTCCCCGGGAGAGGGAGGAGAGACTCAAAAAGAATCTTGGAAAGATGACTCAATTGGTCATTGAACCGCCCAACGGCCGACACCCCCTGAAAACCCCAAACTAGGGTGGACTTGAAATGATCCCACTTATGGGCTCACCACACCTCAGTAAGTGGGTGAGGACAAGGTGCAGAAAAAGGATTGACGGCATCAGGGTATCCGTCCCAGGATCCAACTGCAGGTACCCTGCCCCCAGTGAAGGTAATACTTGGTACTAGTGCACACACACACACACACACACACACACGCACACACACACACACACACACACACACACACACACACACACACACACACACACACACACACACACACACACAAGTACATCGTAGAGTAGATGGATTACAACGCTTTACCTGAGTGCCACTGTAGAGGTGTAGGCACTTCCGACAATACTCCGTATACAATCAAAAAGGCTTTTTTTTCTTTTTAGACCAAGAGTGGTGCATATGATTATTATTATTATTATTATTCTCAGTTCATGGATGACATAGTGTCGACAAATAATGAATGAGGGCTACCAGCCATTAACAAAGATGGACATATTTACGATAGTCATACTTTTCCAGACATTTCGTTGTTCTGAACAACATCGTCAGTGGATTGTACGCGAGTTGACCGATCCAGTCCAAGGGCAAAGAGTTGGTGGACAAGCCATTGGTTACTAGTCACTCTCATGTGTAAAATCAAAGAAAGGTTTCTTTTTCTTTTTAGAAAACAATTTTTGATTTTACAATGAGAGTACCTAACCAATGGCTTGTCCACCAACACTCTATATAATTCCCAAGGATACTAGCCACCACGCACGGAACCTGAATGGGTCCATAATTCCAACCGCTGTGCATACCGTAACTCTAAAAATATGATTCGCATGGGAAGCTTTTGAGTCACTTGAAGGGCAATTTGAGCTCACATGCGCAAGGTACCGGCTCTGCCGGTCTCGAGAAATCCTGTCAGAGTGTGCACAGACAGTCTGTCCCCGGGGAAAATTGCGGAAAAAAATCGCAAAAAACGCGGGGAAAAACGCGGCATAATATGGCATAATTTGCGGTGAATTTGCGGTAAATATGCGATAAATATGCGGTGAATAATATTGATGTACGGCAATTTTCAGTGAGTATGTAGTGAAATCAATCAGTTACAAGTCTCTGGTGTAAGCACTCGTCATATTTGAGTAAAAAGCCGCCACGATGAGACGTTGCTGACCGAACAGTGCACTGTGTGTACGTGTAGTACAACAAAAAAGTTCAAAAAACGCGGGAAAATCGCGGAAAACGCGGTCTTTTAAAAAATCGCAAAAAACGCGGAAAAAAACGCGGCCGCGGAATCGCAATTTTCCCTGGGGACAGGACAGTACACGGTGGCATCTTCATGCAACTGATGTGCATCATGAGTCAAGCAGCGTGCAACTTTGCAGCAGCATTCTTTACACTTGTGCAATCTTATTCCGGCCAGTGTGCAGCAGTGAGAGAGTGAGTGAGTGAGTGAGAGAGAATGGGAGAGAGAGAGAGAAAGAGAGAGAGAGAAACTTGACCAGTTTGCACAAGAGAATGAGAAGAGAGTTGGTTGCCATGGTAGTCTCAGGGACTTCACAATCCCAAAATGAAAACCACCCGCAGAGAAACCCAAGCGTGAGTATACCGTGTCAGGCCCGGCGAAACTGGTCCGGTTGGTCAGGCCATGGCCGGACCAACTTTTTGGCCACCAACGTGTGTTTACTGCTGAGGAGGTCATGTGACTACCCTCCATATCATACACAAACTGTATGAAAGTCATGTGACTACCCTCCATATCATACACAAACTGTATGAAAGTCATGTGACTACCCTCCATATCATACACAAACTGTATGAAAAGACTAGGGTATGGCGGGACCAATCAAAAACTGCTTCCGCCTGTCCGGCGTGTATAGCCAGCATAGTACAGTGTGCTCACCTTAATGTGTCCCTTGAAGCTACCCTGCCACTGTCCCTGTATAAAGTATGAGTAGGAATCTCTTGGCAAGACCTTCGCTGTTGGCTGTGGTTCCCTGGGATCATACCGCTTGCCATAGGTAACGTCCAGCTGGGAGCGGGCATAAATCGCTTGAAAGATCTGTCTCCGGGTCATGTCGGGCTGCTTCGCGAAATTCAGGAGCAGATTGTATTCATTGGAGATGACAACATGTGGATGGGCGTCCAGTATGGACCCCACTAGTGTGTGCATACTACGTGGGTAGCCGATGAAGAACACGAAGCGCTCAATGGATTCCATTACGTTTGGACTGAGCTTAGTCACGCTAGTACTGAGTCGGTAGCGCCCCGATTGGTTGGCCGCCGCGGTGGGTTTAATAACAGTGACCGAGCTGCTGATCCTTCCAGGGCTGGCTGACACATCCATAGTCTGCCGATCATCATCTAGCCAGAGAAAAGAAAACAGTGCACATGAGGACTACCGTAAAAGTCCGTAAATAAGTACGTGTTTACTTTCGAATTTAGTGACCACACCCGTACTAACTTCCGGGCGGGTACTGACTTTCGGGCACGAACTAACTTTCGGACCTGACTTGTGTGTAGTGGAGAAGTCATTTTCATATAGATATACATGCTACACACTGCATGTGCGCACCGTACCGGCACCTACTTCGGGCAGTATGTTTATCGGGCTTGACTTGACTTCAACAGACAGCCAAAAGAATGAAGGGGGTATTTCTTTCGGGCAGGTACTTATTTACGGACCTTTACGGTAGTGGTTAGAGTAATAGTAGAACTGCATCATCATCATCATTCAGGCTGCATGTCCTACAGCGGATAGCCCTTGCCACTGAGAAATTAAAAGCTCAAGTTTGATCCTTTTCATATGGCCAAACGCTAGAATTCCATCTCCTTCATGAATGGACAGATGGTAGATGCTACGACTCCCTTTACTGGCTTCAGCTTCAGTGGAGTAGATCTGCAATCAGTTACTGTATGTACATGACATTGACTGCGCAGTAGTAACCCATACTGTGCATAGCTCTACGTACCTCCTTCCCCGGCGAATAAGCTAGGATGCACACAGGATCCTCCCGCACATATCTCGGACACGGATCCATGCTTTGCCGAGCTCGGACGTGGACGGCGAAGCGAACCAGTGCTACCACTGACCCGTGCGGACGCGTGTGCCGAAAACCAGAGAAAACGACTTAGTGGAGAACTGGCTGCGATGCAAACGCCAATAACAATAACTGCAAAGACACGAGCGCCAACCGAAATCCTATTCATTCCCTGACCTGACCACATGAACATTCTTTGCCTGCGTAGCTACCTCCAGTCTCGCGACGTGGCACACTGAGACTCGTGGCTAGGCTACCGTTGGCAACACACCACAACGACGTTACGGCTTGCATCTGTCGGGATGATGTTGGAAAATCAGGCCTCACGGTCCTTGCGCCAGCGTGTAAAAGCACTCTCGCCGTCTCGGCCTTCTGTCCCGGTCCTGACTGAAGATGCGCAGATCTACAACTGACTTGTATCAGATTCTTTTGACGTTTTGATTTTCCCTCCGCTTGGACCTGTCCTTAGTCTTATGTTATGACTCGTAAGAGTCGTAGATCTACATGACTTTGTATGAGTCTTGATTCGAGTGCCAGATAGAGTCTACCCTTGCAGTCTTCATGGTCTTCGTGGCATGTAGTCTTGTAGTTGTATAGACTGTAAGATCTACTGACTGCAGCTGTCATCATCATGATCATGGTCATTAGAGTTACAAAATACAAATCAATGCACTACGCCATATTACCAGATTACTTACAGTCAGTGCACTGAGTGCATGCATACAACATAACAATGATAACAGAGCTAGAGCTAGAGGTCAGTCACACTTCATGCATGGAGCCACTTTCAGCTTTGCCTTGGTTCAGATCAGGGGCCCCGTGGCACGTGGGCTTTCACGACTCCTTGCATGCACTTGGTCACTTGGTTCAGACTCACACATTCGAATAAATGCATAACTCTACATGACACGATGCATGCCTCCGCTAAAATGGCTTGGGACTTCGTTGGGAGCATGCATGAAGAGCTACTATACTGCAAACTCACAGTAATGGTTCCTCTGGGAGCCCCTACCATGAATGGAATGATTTCGTTATCCGATCAGCAACTGTAGTACAGTAGACGTATGGGCAGCATGGCCTACCGAATATGGTTGCACATCATGAACGGTTAGGCAGCTTGAAGTCATGCTACCTGGCTACTGACACTGTCAGGTGGAATTCGCTTCCAGCAGCTAGGCTCCAGCGGGTTATGCCCGCGAAATCATGGAATTATGCTTTCATGGATTCTCGCATTATGCTCGCAAAATCCTCATTATTATGCTTTGGCACGGGGCCGGGGGGATACATAATTATACACTTTGTTGTACTTATGGAGCCCTGAAGTTCGGAAAATAAATTGTGCCTTTTTCGTACTTGCAACTTGCAAGTGGTCACAAGTACAACAAAATACATGAGTATCCCCATACCAAGGTGTCCATGCATGCTAGAGAGCAACCTGGAAAAGGGGAAACATTACTTCTTCTATTCATTAGTTGACTTATTTTGCTTTGAAAGATTTTTCCATTGCCAAATTAGTTTGAGTTACATGTACCTTTGGAAACTGTCATGTTCAACTGTCTTCGTAATCATCATACTCGTCCAACCGGTGTCACCCTAACCCTGCGGATTCTCGTAATCAGCTCATCTCTCCCGTAGCTCCAGCTCTCCTTCCATCGTGACCGAACATCAACTATACCTCAATTTGAGAGCTAAGTGCAACAGGGGTGAGGAACTAATTGCAACGCTAGAACTGTGTAGTGAGACAAACAATCATGCTGTGCACCTACGAAAACAATCTTAACGCAACTACATGTTTCTTCTGCTTACAAAGATCAGGCTTATGCAAGCGAATACAAACAGCCTCAAGTACTTTCAACTGACTAGCGTACCGTGCACGACAAAGAACAGAAAAACTAAAATCATCATACACCTGCAGACACTTAGGGTGAGACAACAGATGAAGAAAAACGGCAGACTTCTTACGATCACAATCACCATCCGATTCCTCGTTTCCACCAACCGCAACCTCGTCCCCCGTCTCATCTTCCAACTCGTCCTCAGTGTCGTCCTCCGTGTCATTCTCCTCATCACCACCGATCGGTCCCAGGCTCGCTTCACGTTGCTGAACCTCTGTTCGTTGACTCCTCCTTTGATCTTGATGGTAATTTGTTACCATTGTTGTCATTGTTGTTGTTCCTGTTGTTGCTAAATCTTCTGTTCCCAGTGTCTTCACCGGTGCTTGACATCCAGTACTGTAATAATTCATTGAATAATTAGCCGTTGATCGTCTAGGTCTTTGAATGTTGATCGTGTTGTTTTCTCTGTTGAATTCCGTTTCCTTCAGCCTTCTTTCTTCTTGTTCATGTTCAGTGCTTACCTCATCCATATTTGCCCGTGCCAGCGACACCACAGACTCAGCCCCAGCACTGCCGATGGCAGATGCAGGTGGCGGTTCTGGGGGAGGCAACGGCAACGATGGCGATGGGGGCATCACCATGATTACCTCGCCGCAGCGTCCACTTTGGTCTTGAGCTGGATGTTGTTGTGGTGTACTTTCTTGTGTTGTTATGGTGCATTGTGTTATAACGTTAGTGACAATGTGATTGTTTGTCTCACTACACAGTTCTAGCGTTGCAATTAGTTCCTCACCCCTGTTGCACTTAGCTCTCACTTTACTTCTATTGTCTCACCTTCCCTCATACCTCAATTTGTTTTATTATTAGAGCAATATCCATAGCATGCACAGTCATAGCTGCTAAGATCCAGACGTCATCACTTCGTAACAAGCACAGTGTACATGTACGCGGAGTTTTGCGGACTACCCGTCACTATCTCGTCCGCCCCGGAGATACCTGATAAAGGCTGATTCACCCGCATCTTCTGCTACATGTACTGACTGTCTGTATCAGGGTGAGAAAGGACTTTGAAGAAGACGAGTTCGAGCACAAAAAATGTATTGCCATGATTTCTACCCGGCTTTTCATTGAAAACACTATCTGCATGACCTCCGAACCCTTTACCATGCAGACCACAAGCACTGATCAGGTGCATTGTACACAATTGTGTCGCCTACATACTAGAACTGTGATACAATCATGCAGTTATGCTCCTACCTCCGAAAGGATGCCAAATTATGCTCCAAATTTTCAACCACCAAATTATGCCAATAATTATGCCGGCATAATCCGCCGGTGCCTACCAGCAGCATGCCGCCAGGCAGCCTCATTTGCAATGTTCAACAGTACTCTACGCAGCCTATTTTGCAATACATAATGGCATAGTATGCAGCCACCGTTTTTCTTTACTCTAAAGTAATGGTCTATTTCATGCACTTACGGTTTTCTTCATTCAGCTCTATTTCACGCACTTACCTAGGGTAACGTTAGATCTACCCTGTAAAAAGACTTACACTTACAGTCTGTGGGGATTGATTGCCCTAGTAAAATAATAAATACTACTACTGCTACATGTGCACACTCGGTACTATTATTATAACCTAATACTGGTTCAAAACCAGTATTAGATAAACCTCGTTATAGTTCACGGTCAATCTAACATGTGCACACTCGCACCTTAGTTTCCTGCGTGCATATGTTGCGTGACTTGCGTCACAGTGCAGTGTCACTGTCAGTGTAGCGTGCATCCGCCAAAGACAAGACTTTTTTTTAGTAAAAGAGAAGCATGAAGCTCTGCAAAATGCACCGGATGTGCAGCCACAGATCACACACACACACACACGTACACACACACACACACGCGCGCGCGCACACACGCGTGTTTGTCATCATAAGTTATAACCTCTGCTTAGTCTATGGTATACCGTTGCCGGTTGGCTACATGTATTCCAGGGGATTAAACAAGCTTGTCGAGGCGATCCATCGAGTCATCAGCACTGCTGACGACCAGCAAAAGCAGCGATAACAACTAACTTCTGGCACTTCGGAAGCCTCCCGATCCTGTGCACCATGGTGCACTGGATCGCCTGGTTCCGCAGTGTCCGGTTGCTGCGGCAGGAGGAGGATTTTGTACCTCGAACACGACCCTACTTGCACCAGCGAATGAGTCATTGTGAAGGAAAGATGCAGGAGCGAGGTGCACGCGTGCTCGTAAAGAAAGGAGGAGCCAGCTGCCGAGGCAGCATAGTGGACCAGTAAGTGTGTTGGCCCACTGGGGGAGAGTGAGATCGAGGAGCTGATAATAGATCAGAGGGCACATAGTGACAAGAATCATTGCATGGGACCCAAGTTCATTACGGCCAGAAAGGCTATCGATGCACAAGTTGGATCCCTGGAGGCCGCTAAAGACAAAGTGGAGCGCAGTCGGTCAGAGACGATCCAGAAAAGTCGCAGTAAAAGAAGGTAATGACACTGACTGAGCGACACAATACACTACTACAGGTAGGGTATTGTAATGATCATGATAGCCTGAGTCGTGGAAAGCAAAGAATGATGGTAAGCAGACAACGTCGCTATGGAAGGTCACACGGAAGGACCAGAAACTAAAGAAAAGTGGCCACATGACGTGCAACGATGAAACAACCGCCCGCACTCATGCAAGGGGGAAGGAAAGGTGAAAAGACCAACCAACCAACTAAAGCCTCGGAAAATCTCACAATACTCTACCAGAGGGAGATGGGACAAGCCCAACTCCAGAGGGCGCCCAATGCAACACCTGTTGTCACACCTCGCTTGTTCATTTCCCTCACTAGTAGAAGAAACCTCTGCATTGGGTTCGTGCATTGCATTTACCCCCCCCCCCCCACCCCCTTTCGCAGAGACACTTCGGCAATAATACGATCATTACTCACTTCTGTTCTGTTCAAGTGTTGGTGTGTGTGTGGAGTTTGGATTTGTTCTTTGGTTTGTGAGTGCTGCGGGCTATGTTGTGATTGCGATGTGATTGAAGTAGGTTTGTGTCCTTTCAATTGGGAGAGCAAGAGAAGCTTTCTGCTGATCTTGATTCAATACTACTTGAAGTACATGTAAGTCTTACAAAGCTCATTGCATTCATAGGTTCATGGGTCAGAAGACACTCAAAAAATATTCAAAAAGAACTCCCCGAGATCCTCGAAATGATGACACTGATGATTTGCCACAGCCCACAAGCAGTGCTCTTGAATGCAACCAGAGACCGTGGGTTAGCAGGGCCTCGGTTTTGTGACCGTGTGAGATCGTATCCTGCGGGACTGTCCCTGCCCCTGACCCTCTGTAACTTGAGGAGGAGAGGGGAGGTAAGGGGGGGGGGGGGTTGTTGTAATGTTTTCCGGGCCAACCCCTAGGCCCTGGAACATAGAGGGTCTGAACGAGAGGCACGGAACCATGATAATTTGATATGGTTCCGAACTTCCGATGATACATATACTAGTAATGTAATTGTCACAAGACCGAGGCCCTGGCAATCAACAGGAGCTGCACTGTTCGGATCCTCATAGTGTGTCCTCCACCAAACTTCCAAAGCCCTTGCTTTTTATAATGCGTCGTGTAGGTAGGTAGGTAGGTACATTTTTATTTGAATTCGCAGAACCAAACGGGCGGTGTCGCCCAATTACATGGAAGCGAATGGAAACAGTAAAATATTGTAGGAAATAGCCTAACATGATAGCAGGGTGTAGTACAAAGCAAAGAACGCTCAGTCAATGAATAACGTTAACGTTAGAATACAACAACGGGGAGGCGGTAAACAGCACATGACTGGTACTGTGCAAACGTTCAAAGATTCGTGTACATGTATGTAGCAGCAAGAGTACATAACCCCGGGGGTTATGTACTCTTGGTGGCAGGGAACAGCAAGAGTGCACGAACTCAGGCAGCCCCTAGGGTTATGTAATCTTATAAGGGTGCGTTCTTAAATCCTCTCGGAAACGTTGGGGACTCTCTGAAAAGTTCGAAAGCTGTTCTTATATCCTTTCCGAATTTTAGGAGGCTCCGAGTCCAAAGTTCTCCAAGCTCTCCAAGCTTCAGAGGACAGGCAGTGGTTGAAACTTGCCATGCCAGTACATGAACAACCGTAAGCCGGCCCAGCTAGGCCAGGGTCATAATGCTAATACCAAGAGTATAATATATACGTTAAATCCTTATTTTGTAACAGCGCTCGTGGATACTGGTGCAGGCGTCTCCCTCATCAGCCTACGTTTGCTTTTTCTCTTGCTAATACGGGTACTTTACGGGTACTATAAATAATTCAATACATGTACTAAGTAAGAGTAGTCATAATCCCGAATACAAGGGGTTACCGGTATGTAAAGTAAGTTCGCACGTCCACGTCGTTACAACCGGCTATACAATTGTGTTGAGGACCACAACCAGCTTACAAAATCATTGTCATTGTAGGAAGTTTTGCTTGTGCCAGGCCATCACCATTGCCACCATGCCAGATCTACAATACTCAATAGGCTTTACCAATACCATGCCTGCGCCTGTGATACCAGGTGATGACAGTAGATCAGTACTACACGCTAGTACACGCCTGTGATACCAGGTGATGACAGTAGATCAGTAATAATGTCCATTGATGTCAGTCACAGGTAGATCTACACCATCTCGCGCATCTAGCTCGGCATGCTCTGCAGCAGTTGACAGAAAGCGCAATCCCTTGCGGAAATTCCGCGATGACCCCAGAAATGGAGCGCTCAAGTGTACATACAAGCTAGCATGCCCTGACTCAACAAGATGTCTAGCAAGAGCCAAAGCCAGACATCTCGACCATGTCAAGCAACGGCTCCGGACGGGCAGCCTGCAGGACAGAGAGTGGTGGAGCGTGATTAAACGAGTTGGAGGGCATGGCCGGGACAGCTCCATCCCAGTCCTGGTTGACCCCGATGGCATGGAATGCACCAAAAGCCACGACAAGGCTAACGTCATCGGGAAGTACTTTGCCCAGAAGTGCAGCCTAGACGATGACCTTGCAGAACAGTCGGGGCCGTTCCCGCATGTCCGCCGGCGCACCGCAAATACGCTTGCAACAGTCCACTTCCGCCAAGCCACCGTACGCCGGACACTCCGAGCCCTGAATCCAAGTAAAGCCACAGGGCATGATGCAGTACCCGCTAGAGTGCTGAGAAAATGTGCCCACTCTCTGGCCCTGCCCCTATCCAAGGCTGTTTACCCTGTGCGTCTGCAGTGGTCATCAACCTGCCATGTGGAAAGTTGCCAACGTCGTACCGGTACACAAGAAAGGCCCCAAGTCGAACCCCAGAAACTACCGACCGATATCACTACTGCCCATAATGTCTGGAGTCCATCGTGAACCGCAGCCTGTCCAACTGGCTTCCTGAAAGAGAATGACATCCTTTCTCACAGGCAGTTTGGCTTTCGCACTGGACTGGGAACCTCTGATCTGCTGATTGCTCTTCAGCATGAGTGGAGCCTTGCAGCTGCCGGTGGAGGCCTCGTCAGGGTCCTCGCAATAGATATTGCCGGGGCCTTCGACAAGGTCTCGCACAACGGCGTCCTCCACAAGGCTGAGCGGTGCGGCATAAGTGGCCCCCTCCTTGCCTGGCTCCGGAGTTCCCTGACAGACCGCCACATCCGTGTCGTCATAGGCGGCCAGTCTTCACCGACCCACCGAATCCGGCTGGCGTGCCGCAGGGTTGCATCCTCGGCCCCACCCTCTTCCTTCTGTACGTCAACGACGCAGAAGACCACTTGCCTGATGGGGCGAAGCTGGCTGCATACGCCGACGACATAACTCTCTACAAGTGCATCACCACCCGACTCAGCCTGGCAGAAGAGACAGCAATCCTCCAGCAGGCAGTAGACTCACTGGCACCATGGGGAAGCAGGTGGAGGATCAAGTTCGAGCCCACAAAGTCGCAGGCATTGACCATCAGCCACCACCGCTCGCCAACCCCCCCCCCCCCCCCCCCGAACGCAATACGCTTCCAAGGAGCAGTCGTGCCAGAAGTAGAGGAGCTCAAGCTTCTTGGCGTCACCTTCGACAGGCAGCTAGCATTCCGCAGCCATACCCGACAGCTTGCAGTACGTGGAGCCCAGCGGCCCGGCTTCCTCCGTAAGGCATCGGCTGTGCTAGACCCAAAGCACCGGGCAATCGTGTACAGTGGCTTTGTCCGCCCTGTGTTAGAGTATGGCATGCTGGTGTGGATGAGCGCAGCCCCCACCACCTTGGCCCGCCTCACTGCCATCCAGCGCGTGCCCTGCACATAATTGGAGACGGATCATACATCCCGAGCCTCGACATTCGCCGTACCGTAGCAGGGCTCTGCTTTCTGTACAAGCTGCACTTTGTGGAGGGTCCGGAAATGATGAAAGCCATTCTAGATAATTATATTCTGCCACCATCAGCAGCCGCACCGCAATGCCGCATGTCTACTCGTGAGACAACCAGATCTGCAGCACATCATCCATCACAACTCACCAGTATCCTTCCTCCTCAGTCACGAAACAACACGCTCCGCTCATTTCCCCACTCCCTCATCGCAACGTGGAATCAGCTCCCACCTACCCCAGTGTCTGCTCCAGCGCCGGGTGAGCCGGGTAATCCACCCGGTTGGGCGGCGCTTGGACCTGGTTGAAAATATAGTACCGGGTCACCTGTGACCCGGTTGGTACATGTACTTTACACTTTCGAACTTTGAAAGGACTGACTACATGGCTTGTATCAAGAGTACATAACCCCCCCCCCCATTATGTACTCTTGCTTGTATGCAGGGAGTAGTACAATACCATTACATGTATGGTATTGTATTACTCCCTGCTTGTATGTGTCAGTCTGTCAGATACTTCTTCTTCTTTCGTAATTTTCTAATTCCTGTCCTCTCTTTTCTAAATGCGGCCTATCCATTCGCCTTTATATCATTGGGCCTAGTTCCCGTTTATTGTGTGTACCCGGCTCCGACCCGGTTAACGCGGTTGAAATGGTTGCGCCAGGTACACGTGTACCCGGCTGTCCTACAATCCTAGAGCAGACACTGCTACCCTTCTGCAGTCTCCCCCTTCTCGCAGAGGTATGCACACCTTCAAGAAAAATGTCAACGACCACTTGCGGCGCAGCAAGTGGGAGTTGGCCACAGACAGGTTATAACCTCTCCATCGCAGTCAACACACCAGCCTATACTGACCGCACTCCAGCTCCCTTCTACCCCTCTTTGATCCCCTTCGCTCAGCCTTAATATGCGGTTATCAGTTCTCTCCATCTTCCTACGGTGCATTGCTTTTACTATTCAACGGTTATGTCCTATCTCAATCTCAATTTCTCCCCATTATCGTTTGCAAAGCCTTTGGGTAATCCTGAAATAAAGATTATTATTACATTGCAAAGCCGGAGCCTCCCTCTTGGATGCACATGTTTTTTTCTCCTATGTATCGGCGCACAGGAGTAACGATGATTCCGAGACCTTTGGTCGGAGGAGTTACTTTTGCCCCGCCGCCACTTCCATGATGAGTTCCATCCAATATGCCACCGCCCCCGCTGTGTGCAGCATCTGATGGTTCTGTGGTATTCAGTGAAAAAAAATGTACGAGCTCGCAATCCTAGGCTACGAGTACACGTGGTTGTTGTTGTATGCAATACCGGTACGCATACGCGCATGCACTTGTTTGTTCCTTTTGTAGATCTACTGCGTACCGGCGCGTACCAGCTACAGTACCAGTACAGTACGAGCACTTCACCACTCCACGTACTGAGTCTGTACTCAGCAGGTCAGGAAGTGGAAAGTACACAGTACATTACTACTCTATGGTTGTCTCCTGAGAAGTGAGAGTCAGGATCCCTGGTTACCACCAAATGCAGAATAGAAGTCAAGGAAGACCATGAAGACCATCAGGCTTCGCCCAGAACAAATCTTCTAGTCCTTCGGCTCAGGGAAACTATGGCCTGGCGGCCAACGGCGCCTTCGTCGGCATTAGGAGTAGCCGTGTATAGTTTCTCTGCAAGAAACGAACGGGAGTTGTCCATTGATGTTGGAGAGGAAGTGAGAATTATCGAGGAGAGTACTTGTGGTGGCTGGTATCGTGGCTTCATCTATGGTCCAGCACCGAGAAGAGTGGGAATATTTCCATCGACTTATGTTCATCGGACACCATGCGTGACAGTAAACCGCGGAAAGAAGTCCATCACTGTGCAAAAGGAGGATGCCATTGCCCTGGAAGTGGCTTCGGTGCTCCGGGAATGGATGACACAATGGAAGGAGCTGTATGTCAACCTTGGAGGCCCTGTGATGCTTGCTCTGAGAGCGACAATGGTACAGCTGATCAAGTGGCGAAGGGATATTCTGCTGGGATCCCTCCGCTCAGACCAACTCCTGCCTATAAAGTCGAAGATTGCCAGTAAAATCGACTGGGGTAACAAAGAGCTAAACTTGTTTCCAGTAATTCGTAATGAGCAGCATGACGAGGTGGATGTGAAGAATACGAGTGTGGTAGATCTGTATCAGATGTGCGTGAATCATACAATGAAACAGAGTAATGCTGGAGGCATGACAGAGCCATCGACGTCCACGCAGCTCAATCACATTTATTGTGAGATCGAGGAGATCAGCTGCCTCGTGCAAGGAGAGGACACAGATCTGCTGTTCAGTCTTTATGACAGTAAGCGCCAGATCTACCTCAGCGAGCGTTTCTTGATGCGCTGTAATAAGTCGGGCAACCCAGTGAGCATGGCAAGTACTGGTGTCGTTGAGCGCCAGTGTGTGTTCACGGACCTGGACAAGGAGGATATCGCCAATCTGCAGGACTGCTATTTGGTATGCCATGTTGTCAGGTGTGGACGCATGGACTTGAACAGCAAGAAAAGCAACGGCATGTTCCGACGGCCCTCTGGCTGTGCTGCCATCCCGCTGCAAAGCCTAAAAACGCTCAACGCGTCAGACAGCACACTGCGTCACGTCACAGCACATTGCTTCCCGTTTGCAGAGGAGAAAGATTTCTCCTCGCTGCATGAGCAGGTCATAAAGAAGCTGGTGAAGACAACAGACCGCTCAGGGACAATATCTGCTGCCATGCGCACCATGCAAGGTGACCTTTCAACACTACGAGAACAGTATGTAAACCTGATTGATAGGAACACATGTCTTGTTCGAAAGCTGGGAATCGCTGAAATCGTCAAGCCGGGTGAATTTCGCAATGACTTCTTCCTCACCATCGAGAAAGGTGACTTTGAGAAATCCAGCAAATCGCCGCCCAACGTGGAGATTCTCGTGCAGGTTGTAAAGAGCGATGGCAAGATCCTGAAAGCTATTTGTGCAGCTGCAAATCAAGATCCGATCGACGAGTTCCGCTGCTTTATAATCTATCACTGCGCCAACCCGCGGTGGCACGAGACGATCAGACTGGCAATTCCGGTCAATGTGATCAACGACGTCCAGGTGCGCTTCACCATACATCACTGCTCATCTAGTGGTAGCTGCACAGATCAGAAGGTGGTACATCTCAAGCCAGTCTTACAGAACGGCACCACGATACAGGATGGCACGTACACGCTAAGTATCGACTCAACACGGGAAGCTTTGGTGTGTAGTACCAGGGTGTGTTCGACGAAGCTAACCCAGGACATTAACCTGCTTGGCCTGCTGCGATGGCGTCTGCTGAAGAAGCCAGAGCTGGTCTATGCCCTGAAGAACGTCCTTCTTGTAAACGGCAAGGACATCTGCCTGTTCATGCAGGACATCTTCGATGCACTCTTCTCCATTCTCGACCAGGAGGACGATATGTGTGGGCAGCTTGCATTCAACGCCATAGTCCGGATTATCAACCTGTTCCTCGACTCCCAGTATGCACAATACCGGGAAAGCCTTGATGTGTATATCAACATGCACTTCTCTGGAGCTCTAGTGTACAAGAAGATCATCAACAACATCAGGGGATATCTCGACCATGGTTCAGATCCTGAGGTCACCAGTACTTTACTCTATGTGCTCTACAGCCTGGAGTACTTGCTCAAGTTTGTTGTCCAGTCAAGGTGCCTCTTTGCGCGGTCTACCCATACCATTGGGTTTTCAAGCTTCAAGGAGAACATCCGATTGACCATTCTCTCCATCGCAAGCTTCCTGACCAATCCGTCACCAACACTACGCCTGACGCAGAAGGTAGCACTCAAGCAGCTTGGGGTGGTGTGCCAGCAACTGCTGCTGAATGTTTGTGAGCCAGCTGACCTTGGACATGTCATCATTGACGTTGTCAGGGCTGTGCCAGCGTCGTCTCTCAATCATCCATTGTTGCTGCCCAAGCTGCGTTTCATGAAGAGCATCGTCCAGAGCAAGTTGTTTGAAGTATCCAACTGCAACACACAGCTCCTGCAGAAGTTCCTCACGGATGCTAGTGTCTATCTACAGCGACTGGAAGAGCCATCGGCCGTGCTCGACCTAATCTCTGCTCTGGCTGGCAAGCTGGAGGCAGTTCATTCGCAGGAAAGTAAAGGAATGAAGATGGTCGTTCGAATTCTTTTTACTGACCTGGTGCAGTTCATTGTCTCGTCCAACGCAGCAGGAAGCCACCAGTCGCTAATGACCGTTGCATGCTGCAGTCTTCTCAGCTTCATGCGCTCAGCGAGAGCGGACGACTTCCAGGAAATCATCAACCCATCTGCAGAATCTCTGCAGCTAGTCGAGCAGCTGTGCACCACATTCTCGTCCCTGATTAGTGACAGCATGGATTGCAAGGCATGGCATACACTGTCCATCCTCCAGGCAGATATCATTGCTGTGACCTTTGCGAATATTGCAGAGAAGGTCTTCATCGCGTTCAGCGGCTCATCACAGTTTGAGACCAGGGCCACCGAGCTCTTGCTATCGCTATTCGAGCTGGGTGGTTCGCTGATTACGCACAACCTACTGCAGTTGGATACGCTCTCACCAGGTCGCCGCCTTATCATTGAGCAGCGATGTGGTGACATTCGTGTGTCAGTAGCTGAAACCATGGTTAAAATGTGGCATGCACTCGGTGCCAATCAGAACTCCTATGCCTTTGCCATACCAAGTGTGATTGTGCGCTCATCGCTGGTCAGGGAGGAGTCCGTACAGAGGTTGCTATTGCCACTGTACGTTGACCTGCTCATCCATGCCTACAACTCGTGCGAAGATGGACTCAGTGACTTCTACGATGACATGACAGCTTCGTTGCACTCTATGATCACCAACGGAAGCGGTGATGACACGTTCGTGACCGGTCTAGAAGACGTGTGGGAAGCTGGCATTCGAAACGCGTCTCTGGATGCCAAGGGCAAGGAGCAGTGTTTAGATGTCGTGAAGCGCATTCGAACGCTGACGTCTCTTCTGATCGACTACCGCGGCATCCGGGCAGGTGTCGTAGACACGTCTTCACCGGCTGGCCTCAGTCTGCACATCAACATTGTCTACAACCTGATGTGCTTCTACAAGACCACCGACCAGCTGGAGATGAGTGCAAGCTGCTTGCTGATGCTGATAGAGCTCAACGTGGCTGCGGAGAACTGGACGGAAGCAGGCTTTGCGTACCTGACCTGTGCCGACACGTTAGACTTTGGCGACAAGCAGGCTGTGCCGTCTGTCCTGACGTTCCCACACCAGTCATCGGAGGAGCGCAAAGCAGCACTGCTTATGGAGAGTATCACTGCTTTGGGCAAAGGAAACTTATGGGAAAAGGGCATTGAAGTATGTGAGATGTATTCCAGGTTTCTGAAGCAGAACAGCTACGACTTTCAGCGCGTTAGCGAGGTTCTTCGTACGGAAGCTAGCTACTTTGAATCTATCGTGTCCATTCATCGCCCATCTCGTGAGTACTTCAGAGTTGGCTACTACGGCAGGGGCTTCTGGCCATTCCTGCGAAACAAGGTGTACGTGTACCGCGGTCGTGAGTATGAGAAGCTCGGCGCATTCTCTGAGCGTATACTGCAGGGATATCCTGGTGCTGAGCTGATGAAGACGAATCAACCGCCCGGCGATGACACAATGCAGAGTGACAAGCGCTACCTGCAGATCTGCACTGTGAAGCCAGTTGCATGCGAGAACCCGGTCGCAGATCACGACAATGTCAATCCTTACATTGCGGAGTTCTACCTGACGAATCGGGTCTCGCAGTTCGTCTACTCGCGTCCATTCCACAAGGGCGTGAAGGACAAGGAGAACGAGTTCAAGAGTTTGTGGCTGGAACGGACGACGGTGGACACTGTCAACGAGCTGCCAAACATCTTGCCATGGGCAGAAGTCATCAACACAACCGTAAGTTGAGTAAAGCGAAATGCTGTTTGCTATGACTTTGTGTTGTGTACAGTTCAGGACATTGAAATTCAGTGGAATGACTGGGGGCAGCCAGCACCCTCACTGTGTAGGGAGTTCATACAACAAACACGTAACTGGCGAATGTGTACTTGCTGTGCACACACCATGTGCCGAGATGTTCGATTTTTGGCTAGACAGATCTCTGCACCTCGAAAAATGGAGTACCTTTCCTGAACCCTGCCTAGAATTTGTAGTTTGCAGTGGAGTCATTTGCATTACTGTCCCAGCCCTACTGCATGCCTCAGTCCCAGAATCTTTCCGGGCTCTGGTTTGGACATGTATATTTGTTGCGCTGTGCTGAGCTGTGCATGAACAGGTATCTTACTCTCAGCACAGCATTATGCAACGTTATATGTAATTATGGCAATTAATACCCGGGATATCAAGCGCCCACGTGGCCGACCCCATCTCAGATGGATTGACAATATTAGAAATGATCTAAAGCACGCCAATATTGATATTTCTGACTGTTTTGAACTGGCTCTAGACAAGAAAAAATGGCTGATGCTTGTGGAAAAATGTGCTGCGCTTGCGCAGTTGTTCTTACTGCGATACGTTCTAACAATAATGAGATGCCTTTTGTCGGCTCTTCTGCCTGGATTTCGTTGACAGATGCGTTAAGCCCATGGATCCTTCCATGAGTGACATGCGAACTGTAACTATTATTATATGCAGTGCGTCACTGGTGTTTTCTTACCCATCAATTTTCTTCTGTGCATGTCTTGTTTTGTGTGAAACAGGTAAGAGACATTTCCCCGATCGAGAATGGCGTTGAGACGATGCTGGCGAAGAACAAGGAGCTAATCGGACTGATCCAATCCCACAAGAACCCAGGCAAGAACATCAACCCACTCAGCATGGCACTGAACGGTGTTATCGACGCTGCTGTCATGGGTGGTGTTGACAACTATGAGAAGGCCTTCTTCACTCAAGTATACCTGGAGGAAAACCCTGAAGATAAGCCACTTGTTGACGAACTGAAGAAACTGATTGTGCAACAGGTGAGTGGATTTTGTACATAATAATAATGATATAGTAAGTGGCTGTCCATAAAGTCCAAAGTTTAATATCGATCTTTTATACAAAACGAAAAAGTTTCGTTTATGGGTGGGTGGGTCAAAGAGAGTTTCGTTTAAAAAAATTTTGATAGCTGAAACATCAATTCACTCTAGCTAGCTGTCAAGTCACTTTTCGTTCAGCGGAGTGGATGGGTGGGGGGGGGGGGGGGGAGGGGTCATATAAACTGAACTTTTTCGTTCTGTGAAAACTATCGATAATGCCGGATGGCCCCTAACATGACACACACATGACATGTTTTTGCAAGTACACTCCATGTGTTACTTCTGTAGGCTGCTGAAGGGGTTTGATAATGAGGGGTCAGGGTTCTAGCCAAAGGAGGGTGGGGGACGCAATGCCCCCCCCCCCCACACACACACTCACTTGTCGATATTTGTGTATTTTCAGGCAATTCAACGAAAATGCAGCTGATAGTCACTAAACAGAGCCAGAGGGTTCAAAAAAGCACACCTGTCTGTGGCGAAGTCCGGGGTTCGCCTCCGTATGTTGCATTTTGCATGGCAAGACAATTTTTGAAAATGGATAACAGGTGACTGTTTCCCCTGCCCCCCCCCCCCCTACTACTACTTGGACCTGGCTAGAACCCTGGGGGTGCTTGGGCTGCTCATTGTCAGCTTGAGATACCGGAACAATAGACAAAGCAATCGTCCAACAACAACATGGATAAACTCTGGTGTGTTCGGACCGTACTTTGCACAGCGGGGAGCTTCAGTGCTGCTCAAAAAGCCAAGTTGGAGCTATGAATGAAGGCTTATGTCTGTAAAAATATTCCTACAGTATCTGGAGCTATACCTGTAGTATTATGCATACAGTACTAGAAAGATACCTTTGTCCACGAAATGCTCAACAGTAACCAAGTCAATGCCACGACGGGGTAGACCTTCCTTGCAAAGAAGGCTGAACAAGGTTTTTCTTGCGACTTGAGTTTCGGGCTATGCCATCCTCATACACCATAGTTCCAAGGTGTTGGAATAATTTCGCCTTTGGGTCGCATTTTGCGAAACTGGAGTTGCAAGAAAAACCTTGTTCAGCCTTCTTCGTAGTAAACAAACTGATGCAACTTACTTGCTGCAAATAAGTGGTGTGCTTCTCATTGCTGATTGGTCAGACCCATTGATCTGTTGTAGCTACATTCCTTCCTGTTCATGCTGTACATGTACATGCACATATAAACAATGTATCCGATCTGTCAGGTCGAACCAGGGATTTGAGTAAACCCGGGAGAGAACACAGCGTAAAAAGCATGGGCAAATGTGTGCCTCACATTTCTTGGGAAAGCCCCTGACTAGAAATCGCAGAATTTTGGGTATGTTGTGTTTCACAGCCAGCTGGTTGAGCCTCATTTATCTATGTTTGTGCTGATGAATCTACAAAATAAGGCCAGTGCTGCTCAAAGACTATGATGGTTTTCATTATCTTTGTGTGTGTGTGTGTGTGTGTGTGTGTGTGTGTGTGTGTGTGCGCGCGCGCGCGCGCGTGTGCACGTGTGCGCGTCTTCATACGTCGATGTGTGTGCATCAGGTGTCCATTCTTGAAGATGGGCTTCAAGTGCATCAAGCCCAAGCCCCGGAGAACTTGCTGCCTTTCCATGAGAAGATGGCGGGCTTGTTTATCCAGATGAAAAAGAAATCAGACAGCATCCAGCAAGTTTACCAGTCTGTTTGACCACCGCAAGAACACATGTACAGTGTCGAGTTCTTTTTTAAAACAGTTGTCCTATTTCCAATATCCTCGTTCTACTGTACAGGTCATTATTATTATTTACCGGTATTAACTTTTATTTTTCTAGGGCATTTCCCACAGACTTATGATCTCCATAATAATAAAAATAAGCCCGGGCTTATTGTCAACCAGTTGAACTGCTTACATGACGATTGTACAGCCTACAGGGCTGAGTTCACGTGGATGACTGCGAGTTCTGCATGCATTTTATTAGTCAAAGTGCACATGAACGCAGTGGTAAATGCTCGTAAATGATGAAATTTAAATTTAGATCAAGAAAAGCCTGCTCACACTTGTACTGCCTTTCTGGATGTCAATTTTGTTTCGAAATGGCGAAGCCCTCACTGAACGAAGAATCAGAAGAAAAATTACCAAGAACAGAAATAAAAGAGAATCCTCTCAGATTCACCGTTACACGCATACATGGCAATCATTGTGTACTGGTAGCTCAACATACTGTAGTGTCTTCTATAGAAGCCTGTTTTGAATACAAGCCTGATTTTTAAGATACTCTGTCAGCACATAAGCCTGGTTTAGTGTTGACAAACATAGAGATACCTGGTTTGAATAGAAGCCTGACTTGAATAGAAAGAAGCCTAGCACTGACATCGGCTTATACGGCCGTAAGCACCAGCTGCTTCTATACGCGACATTACAGTAATCAATTTTCCGTAACCCAAAAGTCCCTGATCCCCTATGCATTATGCGCAGGGAGTCGTTTTGGTACGGTTCCCTGATTATGCGCAAGACTCCCCAAGAGTACATTACCCCTCTTGCCAAGAGTACATTATGGCTATGTACTCTTGATAAGATAACCCCCGTATTATGTACTCTTGGTATAAGCTATAACCATTGTCCCAACCACAATATGGTTACTATAATTATGTAGTATGTACTCTGTCAGCACATAAGCCTGGTTTAGTGTTGACAAACATAGAGATACCTGGTTTGAATAGAAGCCTGACTTGAATAGAAAGAAGCCTAGCACTGACATCGGCTTATACGGCCGTAAGCACCAGCTGCTTCTATACGCGACATTACAGTAATCAATTTTCCGTAACCCAAAAGTCCCTGATCCCCTATGCATTATGCGCAGGGAGTCGTTTTGGTACGGTTCCCTGATTATGCGCAAGACTCCCCAAGAGTACATTACCCCTCTTGCCAAGAGTACATTATGGCTATGTACTCTTGATAAGATAACCCCCGTATTATGTACTCTTGGTATAAGCTATAACCATTGTCCCAACCACAATATGGTTACTATAATTATGTAGTATGTACTCTGTCAGCACATAAGCCTGGTTTAGTGTTGACAAACATAGAGATACCTGGTTTGAATAGAAGCCTGACTTGAATAGAAAGAAGCCTAGCACTGACATCGGCTTATACGGCCGTAAGCACCAGCTGCTTCTATACGCGACATTACAGTAATCAATTTTCCGTAACCCAAAAGTCCCTGATCCCCTATGCATTATGCGCAGGGAGTCGTTTTGGTACGGTTCCCTGATTATGCGCAAGACTCCCCAAGAGTACATTACCCCTCTTGCCAAGAGTACATTATGGCTATGTACTCTTGATAAGATAACCCCCGTATTATGTACTCTTGGTATAAGCTATAACCATTGTCCCAACCACAATATGGTTACTATAATTATGTATTATACCATGGTACGGTACGGAGGGCCTGTTTTCAGCCAATCAGCGCTCGTCTAGCCATGGTTATATGTATAGATTATAGACCGGTTAGGAGGTCTATACAGGATATATAGACCGAGTAAAAGACCGAGGTCCCCCGAGGTCTTTTACGAGGTCTATATATCCTGTATAGACCAACTATGAGGTCTATAATCTATTTATCGTGTTCTCCACACAATAGTTTCTCTCCATATACGACATATCCTTGTAATTCTAGTATTATACTATAGCCTATACCGCATTGTACTGCATTGAAAGTCAAGATCATTGTTTAAACTAGGTTCAGCATCGGTAGCACAGTGGCTGGGTGGTAAGGAAGAGTGACTGAGATTCACAAGGTTGTGGGTTCAAATCCCATCTTGTGTATTTCTGCTTTCTTCAAAAATTTCTTTTTCTAAGTTGGAGAGAAAATTTCTAAGTCCAAGAAGTAAGTTCTAAGGAGTCAAATATAAGTAGTCAAATATATCGTGTATTTGACTAAGCAGTCAAATACGCGATATATTTGACCGCTTAGGTATCAGGGAAATTAGTGGGGTCAAATACTAAGAAGGCGATAATGGCCAGTATAAATCCCGCGCGGGATTTATATAGAATATAAATCCCGGTGCACGGTACGTACGCTAGGGCACTGCCACCGTACATGTTCACTGCCTGAACGGCAGTGAACTTGTACTAGGCACTTCAGGCGGTTTTTTCAAAACCAGAAATACTCATATTTCTTTCTTGTATCCGATTCAGATAGGTTTAGGAAGACTCCACAGAAAATTTGAAGCAAAAAGAATAACTTGGCACAGAGATATAGCCATCCAAAGTCGGAGAACTGAATAACGGCAATTTCAGTATTTCGACGGCACCAGCAGCATATCAGAAATTGGTAGGACTTGCTTCAGTGTCTATAGTGGCAAAATACCAGGCTCGCTGGAAGCAGGTCAAAATAACCAGATGAATGCAGAAACAGCATGGTTTGGAAAAACTTCGCATTTTTCATCCGTCCGGCAGCTCAGACGAAGATATCGGGTGTGGTCACCATGGCAACTCCATAGCAACTCCATCGCAACAGCATGAAAACAGTGCAGAGAAGCCTTTGCCGGCTTTGGAAAAGCATAAGATGAGACTTTGAGGTAAGATAAAGTAACTACAATAATTCAGTGCCAGAACACATTGTTGCTACAATGTACAGTACTGACGTGGTGACGACTACGGAAGAACAATGAGCCGATTACTGAGCAAACTAGAATTTTACCAGGTATTTGACGGAAAGAAATGACAAACTATTACATGTAGAACATTGTTTGCAAATGTTTGGGACTACTGAAACTTCAGCAACTCCAGCATGAGAGATTTTGTGCATAGAGTGTGTGCTGGATTCTTGGTATCACCGTCAATGCTTTTCTTGGTCGCTGGAAGCCACCTGCTGATCAGCTGACGATTTGTTCCAAGCAGGCCGTTTTGATGTCAGCTCTCTTGGTCCAGTCGCCGAAGTATATACTGTCCTACTCGTTGCCTGCAGGAGAGGACGACTGCTCCGATGCGACTCCAATATAATTATAACACCTGCAATATTTCTTCTTGCGCAGCCATGCGCATGGGCTCCGACGAACAAGGACTAGTGCCGGGAGGACGCCTGTCGCGGCTCGCTTTCAATAACACCTCGCATTATTTCTTCTTGCGCAGCAATGCGCAAAGTGTTGGACAAACGAGGACAACTGATTCCGAAAGGAAATACGACGCTGAAGACGATGAGCTACATGGCAAATGCGTGCAATCAAGTGAAATGCCCGAAAAATCCTTGCCGATTTTACTCGAACTGTACGTGAGTTCAAAAAATTGCCGCATAATGACGTATGTGGGCTCAAACGAAAGCTGAGGGCCTCAGCTACACGCTGCGCCACACGAGAAGGCCCTGCGCAGCTTCCGTGCAGCTACAGATCGATCTATGCATGCGCCTTTCCGTGGTGCCACGCATGTACGCGATTCAGCGTTAGCACTTTTTGACAGGTCGTGTCACGTGACTGAAGTGCCTACTTGTACGGCGGCAGTACTCCAGCGCACGGACCATACATAAACAGACACAACGGACACCACATGCACGTGTACACTCCACACAGAACGGCACACTGACGAGGAACAGTACACAATGGAAAAGAAGAATGACCTGGAATTCGTCTACAGAGTATTCTGTTATACTGAATCTGAGGATAAAGAACGTCGAATAACCACGAAGTATCCCGAATGGGTCAGCAATGTACATTGTACTTCGAAGAGTTGAAGATCATCAACGGACTGTCTCCTTCGTAAATAAGTTTATAATACCAGTGTACATGTACTTCAACCCGATTGGAAAAGGCTACAATAGATTGGATTGAAATGTGATACAAAACAGTGCATGCAAATGCATCTACTTGCAAGCAAAACTGATTATAAGATGCCGCATGTGAAAATCAGCACTGTACCATAATTATAGTAACACTTACTCCCAAAGAGTCTGTAATCTAACTAGTGACGGTAGTTTGATTCAACGACAAACTCCAACACCGCAGCAATTCAGTCGACTTCCGCACCGCTCACGACTCAAGACAAGATCATGAAGATGCTACAATATGCACTGGTACTGAAAGGAAATCTTATGCCAAACATCCACGGAGGAATCTCCTTCTGACCTTGCTCGACCATTCTTTCAACTGACAACTGATAACCATCAGAAGATGTTCATGTACTGCATGATGTAGGAGATCTCCAAATATTGAAATAGGTTCGTTGTTCTGGAAATGCGTAGGGGTACCTGGCATAAGTAGGATATGACCCTCGTAGTCGGGTTATACCGTACCCTCATATAAATCCCTCCTGCTATCGCAGTCGGGATTTATATTCAGCCGGTATAACCCTCTGACTCGGGTTATATCCTCTACGTATGCAGGGGCGTAGGAGGGGTTTGGGAAGTGGTACGACCGAAGGCCGTTTTGGAGGGGGGTCCGGGGGACCTTCCCCGGGAAAATTTTGTAAAAATGACACAAAATCCTGCGTTCTGGGAACTTCTGGCACAGTTTATAAAGTCATAATTTCACGGTCAGAAGAGAGGTGCATGGACATGCACAGATGCACGGCAGATCTACGAGTACGAGTCTAGAAAAAGGTCAAAGTCTGATGCGCATGCCATATGCGCATACATGTATGCATCGATGGATCCTGATTTTTTTATTATGGTTTTGCACGTTCCGGACGGACCACACTTTTCGAAAAGTGGTACGGCCATGGCCGTACCAGTCGTAGCGGGTGCTACGCCCCTGGTATGTACTCCTATTATATTCCCTATCAAGATCGCAGTACTACTAGTCTTGTTCCCCGGCCTAGTACACAGTCAGTACGCTGTAGGCAGTACTTGACGTACAAGACTGGAGTGAAGTGTCAGTAGATCTGTTGACACTATGACAGCATGCATGTTGTACTTGTATTCTTTGATCTTGACATTATAATACCAAGAGTACATAACCCCGGTTATGTACTCTTGATAATACTTGTCAATAATATTGCAATCTTGATTTGCACAATGCATGCCATCAAGAGTGTTTATGGACTCTTGCTGCCATCAAGAGTACATAACCCCAGCTAGGGTTATGTACTCTTGATGCCATCAAGAGTTCATAACCCCCACTCTTTGATCTTGACTGTTGATGCCATGGCGCATGTGCTACGTTACGTCAACACGTGTGTCGTGTGACGTAGTGTGTCTTTGAAGTTTTTTTGGACTCCAAAAAAGTTTCACTTCGCATGTTCATGTTTTTGTTTCTATTCCCGCATTTGTAGATCTACAGATTGTGGGCCTATTAGTATTTCTTCGCTTTACTTCTAAAACCTTATTGAAGTATGTTAGTGGTGGTATTCTCAATAGGTAGACAGCATACTCATAATCCATCATATAGATGCTCCCATTGTCGTCGTACCGAATGTAAAGTACATTTTAGGTGTTGATTTTCGAGCCACACACAATACTCGTTGTGATATTCTGTTGAAATGGCTCCTCTCAGTGAGGATGTAGAATGCACCAGTTTGTGCGTGTCCCGTCCTCTATATCAGCACGGATATGCTGGACCCTTCGCAGTTCTTTACGCATCTTGGCTGTACGTCTGGAGCAGCGTCCTTGGAGCAGATGCATCTGTTGAGGCTATTCTAATAGGCTGTGCAGTGATCGCGATCTTGCAAGTGCTGGTGGCTCTCTTTTGCCTATGGTCGGTGCACTTCAAGTGCTTTTGCACGTGCAGAACCGTACGTTTCTGGTTTCTGGTGCTCTTGTTGCCATGCATTCGATGCTCATTGAAATTGTCAACTGGGCTTATAAGCTGAGTAATGCAACCAAGAGTATGCAACTGTGATCTCTTTCCTATGGACCAGCTGTGCAGTGCCCTGCCTTTATTATAACATGCAGGTTCATCCACGCACCATGGAAAGTATTAAACCATAAAAAAATAACTCCTTTCCCTGCGAATATAAACTTTCGGAGGGAAGGGAAGTGAATTGCAGTTTATACAGTACCCAGAATCTATGTATTGCGCCGGGATTAAAACTACTGTAATCGAGAGAAAAAATGTGTATGCTGCGAGAGGTGGTAGTGTTACCTGTTTGAGTGCTCGGGCACAGGGCATGATGCAGACAAATATTGTATTGGAGGCAGTGCGCCATGCGCTGACCCCATAATCACAGTTGAATACTCTTGGTATTGGCCTCTTGAGGCTTGGTATGCTACGTGTAGGTCATGGAATAAGAAGCATGTAGGCATTTCATTGCAGACTTTTGGTGAAGCTGGACATGCTCGAATTCCGCTAGCAGTGCTTTGCAGCAGGTACTGATGCAGTAGAGAATTGCCACGGGTGTTCAGTGGCGGTTCCAGGGGGAGGGGGGGGGGGGGTTCCGGGGGTTCCATGGAACCCCCTAAATTTTGCAAAGACAATTGTGCGGCTGAGAAATATCGAAAAATATCATGTGTGCACAAAAGGACGTCCGTCCGATCACAGTCAGTGCAGTCACTGAGTCAAGGAGCACAGACTGTCAGTCAGTGCACTGCATGCGCGTGCGGTAGATCGATACTGTACGGATTGTAGTCTGTACTGGTGTTCACGTCCGTGATTTACAAATGGACACTGTAGACAACATTGGGTGTTTGTCTCCTTTTTGATCTTTCGAAACGATCCAAACTTACCTCCATTGGCGCTGTCATTCACTGCTGCTCAGGATGGGTGTGGTGTGGTCAGTATTCCTTGGACAAGTTTTTTGCAGAAGAGAAAGGATGTTCCGAGTATTGACACTCTTCAACGAACTTCGAACCGTACACGTAGAGTTCAAGCTCCTCAGAAGATGAGGGCTCCGACATCCAAGCAAAGCCAGTAATCTCTACCTGCTGCAGCATGCAGTAATGACTAGTTGTTCCTCCGCAGGAACGGAATGCTGCGCCAGCGATGTGTTTTAGATGACATTGGAAGGATTGGACACTGTTTCGCTGCTGTTGTTTCTGTCACTGAAGTGAAGACGATGCTCTTGTCCTGTGACTATAGAGCATTTCGCATCGTAAAAAGGCCAAAAATTTCCGAAAGTACAAAATAAATGGACAGGGAAAGTAACTAAGTTGTCATTTCGGCATTCCTAGCTCTCAACGTACCCATGGCTTGCACATTCGATCTTTACAAGAAGTTGAAAGGGTCTTCAAGCCCTCACTGAACCTGTGTGCCAGTCGATTGCATACATGTATAGTATATTATTATGTGCCCGTGCTAAATAATATTCAATGTAGGGTAAGCAGCAGCATTTGGCCCTGTACAGGTTTTCCATCGTCCACCACACCACAACTGCGCTCCGACTCAGTCTCCAGCGATGGTGGTGTGCTGTGGCAACGTGTCGAGGCCGGCTGGAGAGCGCAGTTGTGGTGTGGTCGACGATGGAAAAATATAATAATATTATGTCCGTAGTGTGTTTTAAAAGCAGGCGATTCCCACTAACACAATCGAATTGTCGTTATTACAAGTGTCAACCGCACATCTGATTCCATAATATTTTGGCTGTTCAATTTTGGTTCAACCGGAACCCCCCTGTAGAGATCTCTGGATCCCCCCCTGGTGTTGAATGAGTAAGGCGACAGTCTGAAGCACATGTGCATATAGGTGGAGGCACGTCCATGTCCACGTGGCCGCGACTAATTCTACTGTTGTCGTTGTACAAGCCTCTGTGGCATGTTCTTTAAAATGAGGCTGCTTTGTCGTGTTGCCTTCATACTGATAGTATCAGTATGAGTAGAACTACATGTACACGTGCAGGAGAACCTCTCTAATAATCTGGATCTCCGATAGGCGGACACTTCGTTCAACTGGACACCTGGCGGGCAGGTACCAGTATCTGCAGTCGAAATCTTGAAAACTTCTCCCTTTCGTGGTGATCGGCTGAACTGCTTGAGCGCATAAAAAGGCTGGACATGTAGCCCTCAAACTCCTATTGTGCATGCCTATGAGTGAGGCAAGAGAATGGTGGTTGTGTCATATCCATTGTGGTTGCAATGTATTGCCGAGGTACGGACAAGTCTGAGACACGGGAACTCTTGGGCGCCCGAGAATGGGCCCGGATAAAAGAGGTTCTATTGTGGGTTGTATTGATGTGTGGCGCAGGCATTGTCTTGCTACCAGTGTCTCATCTCTTGCACATTCCCCTTTTTATCACGATGAGTAGATACTTCAAAGTACTATAATAGGATAGAGTCAGTAACAGATACGCTGTGTAATTCTGCAAAGTCCTTGCATTGCCTGCACTGCCTACACTGGGAAGCTGTTGTGGAGTGTGTCAGAATGCTAATCCGTGTTGTGCACTACATGCACGTGTGTGTGTGTGTGCGCGTGTGTGTGTGTATGGTGGTATAACGTATTTTCCATTAGGTAAACGATGTGAATGAAGCCAAACTTGTGAAGGTGATTCCTACTCCGAATAATGGATATCCAGAGCTAGTTCCTCTGCTAAAAGAAAAGGTAATTGTCATCTAATGATTACTCATGTAGAGTATAGACTAATGCCTGGTATAAGATATTTCCAGAAATGCTTTGGCAAAGAAGAGATGTAATGAGGAGTACCAACCTTTGCTATGAAATGCAAGTTGAGTTTTTCCTGTTGTTGACCTGTATGCTGTCTGCCTTCTGTGTTTAAAATAGTGGTGTGTATTTCAAAGTAAGTTTTTAAGTCACCTGGTTCTTATTGTGAGTATGTATAGAAAGAACTTTACATACATGTAGCGATCCTTATGCTTTCTTCTACAATCCATCTCTCTCTCTCTCTCTCTCTCTCTCTCTCTCTCTCTCTCTCTCTCTCTCTCTCTCTCTCTCTCTCTCTCTCTCTCTCTCTCTCTCTCCCCCTTCGTGTCTCTCTCTCTCCCCGTCTTGTCTCTCTCTCTCTCCCCTTCGTGCCTCTCTGCCCCTTTTCGGAGGTTTGCAGTAGGAATACGGGTGAATTCTTGTTTCAACGAACACCCGTGGTACGGGCCTATTGCAAACGTTGAACACAGGTAGTCTCTCTGAAACCGGGGTGACTCTTGCACATTGCAGATGTTTGCTGCTGTAGAATAATTGTGGTGTTACAGACGAGGCAGTTTGCTGAAACCAGGAGTGGATTGACTGGGTTTCAACCATTATTTCTGCATAAAACTGAGACTTTATGTTGTTGTTGTTGTTGTTGTTGTTGTTGTTGTTGTTGTTGTTGTTGTTGTTGTTGTTGTTGTTGTTGTTGTTGTTGTTGTTGTTGTTGTTGTTGTTGTTGTTGTTGTTGTTGTTGTTGTTGTTGTTGTTGTTGTTGTTGTTGTTCAGGATGAAAATGATGACGATCAGTTAGCCTTCTATTTTCAGAAGACAAAGTATGTGTACAATGTGGACCGAAAAGAGTTTCATGATGTCAAGTTCCCAGTTGAAGAGTTCCTCTCCTTTTACCGGGACTCCATGGGAATTGAAGATGATAAACGTTTGGTCAACTCGGAGCGCAAGTTTGGATTGAACAAGTAAGTTTTAAGCTGTATATTTTGTGTGTGTGGGGGGGGGGGAGGAGTGGGTGGGGGCATGTGTGTGTGTGTGTGTGTGTGTGTGTGCGTGCGTGCGTGCGTGCGTGCGCGTTTGTGTGTGTGTGCATGCGTGGTGGTGTGTATGTGTGTATTTCGAGTGTTGGTGCTTGGGGATTCAGTGGTGTGTACTGTAAGGTGGATTGCTGTACCGTTTAGCAACATGACGGTACTGCATCTAATTCCAGTGCTGCACCATCGGATTCATGTATGGATGGCTTTTTGAAGTTTATTCATATTATGGTTTCAGTAAGTGTGTGTGTGTGTGTGTGTGTGTGCAGGTGGGCGCGCGCGCTTGTGCACCGTGATGTAGGCATG